TTCTAAGTGCTCGCACCTTCTCTAGCTAGGTGACAATTTGTGATCATGTTAGCTTTGCCTTTAGGTAAGTTTAACTGTGGTTCTAATTGCAGAATCAAGATGTCATGTGGCTGAGGAATCCGTTAAGAGTACTTATGCCTAATTTTGGAATGTCAATCTCATGTGAGTGTTTTCATTTTGATGGTGAAACATTCGAGAAAAATTAGGGTAGTCCAAATTGAGGAAAAGATGAGGGAGGGCTATTTGAGATGATTTAGCCATGTAAAACGTAAACCTATTTGTGCACCAGTTAAGAGATGTGAGCTTCTGGATTTAGGAAATGCAAAACTTTTAGGGGCAGACCACGAAATTCATGGATGCAAGGAATTAAAATTGATATGAAGGTCCAAAAGTAGATGAAAAGGTTGTTGCGGATAGAAATGAGTGATGCAAGAAGATTTGAAACTAAAGGCTAACATGACTCTCCTTTAGTCTTTTATACAATTAATCCCAGAGTTAACGGGATAAGAGGCTTAATTTGTTGTTGTTGTGATTGTTGGTGAAACCTTGGAATCAAAGGACATGGAGGATTCTTTCACATCAAAGTCGATGAAAAAACTTGTGAGTTCATATAAAACTGTAAGGTACAGAGGGTTTTGAATCCTGATTCTGAACACCAATCCCTCAGCAAAACTATTGGAAATGATAACTACATTGACCTCATTGAAATGAAGGTTAATTATTTCACTGAGGTGAGTTTTGGTAGACTTTGTCAACCTTGTGACTTGAGTCAGATATAATACCATACAAGCAAACTGCTGTGAGAACATTGACAAGCAAAATCCATGATCTGAACCTTGTTCTTGATAACTGGAGAAACTTCAGATAAGTGTCTGCAAATAATGCTAGCTCGAAGTGATCACCATGGTAAGCTCCACAGAAATGCATACGGTGATTGCTTCTTTCGGACAGGTTTTGTCTCATGTAAGCTCTTGAGGTGTGTCCAACAAAAATGGTGCTGACCTTAATAACTGTTGGGAGAGACAAGACAACATAGATTCAAACTTTTGGCATTCTAAACAGGTAATGAAAATTTGAAAAGGTTCTCCTGCTGCCAATCATGGTATGGATTGTAACTTTACATAATTGTCCTGAAGAAGTTTTTGCCGTTGGCACAATTGCACTAATGAAACAGAATATACACGTCTTTTTGTGCTTTGAATGAATGTAGCCTTCACATTTATAATGTCTCAGTCTCTCAGATACAACCATTGACAAGCAGGGATGAAATTTTAACCAATTTGACTAATTCTTTATCCGGCATAATTTTTACATTGCTTATGTATTGCTGCCAACTGTGTGAAGGGAAAATGATTTTCGCTATCACCATTCTTTACAAGAAATAGAATTCAAGAACTGACTTGGAGATCAGTTTTTTAGCCTTCATATTTTCAACAGATTTTCAGAGTATGTTCTATTCAAATTCCGACCAACCTATCCTGATATGAAGCAGCAATCCCCAATATATTTCTCTCATTGTGTGATACACCATCAAAGTTGGAGAAGAGGACATTGCCATGCCTAAGAATAAGATTTTGCAATCTCTTTTGCAACTCAATGAGGGAATGAGGAAAAAGAAAAAGGAAAGCATAAATAAACACAAACTTCCACATATATCTGACACCGATTACGCTCCTATAGCTCCGGAAAAAAATGGTAATACACAAACTGCCTTCAAATCAATTAGGGAAGGAAAATCTTTACTGCATATGCGTAAAAAAATTACAAGGCAATTCAAGTGAAATGGTTCATCCTAATGCAACTCACAAGAGAAAAAAGCCCCCAGAGAATCAAAGATGAAAATTAGTAAATAAAAGGCATGGCAACATGTGGTCAATAGGGAAGGCCTTCATCCGGCATTTCCCAGTTATCTTCTTCATCCTCATCCCTCTTCGTTGAAGTTCGTTCCTGCTTGTTCGATTGTGACAATCTTGCCCGGGGACGCCTGATCATAGTGCATAAGAGAAGACAGACATCAAATTCATATAAACAACTACTACAAAACAGAACATGGCTCATTGCTGTGACTGGGGTTGGTATTTTAGTTAAAGGAACAGAATTTCGATCACAGACTACAGGAGAAAACAACATGTAGATACTCACAAAGATAAAAAAAGATCGAACATTAACCCTGAACCAAACAAAAACCCAACAAAAGGGCAAAACCTACCTAGTTCATGGGGGGAAGTAAATATAGGAGAAACAAAGAAAAACTACAATGTTTATGCTAGATATTCAATTGAGATTCAAAACTGAAAAGAGATAAGATGTCTATGATAGCATGTTGGTTTGAAAATAGGCCTTTCTTAAACACTACTCTATATGCTCAATTTTGATGCCTTCGTACTAGATGATGAAGTTGTGTCCTCAACTGAATACCATGCGCAAAGGAAAACAATAGCAGCGAGGTCTTGAAGCATTACAATGGTAAATCAAACCCAATACAACTGCACAAGCTTCAATTTTTATGGCTAAGACACAAATATCCAACAAAATCAACTTGTGATCAGCACTTAAGTCATGACAAAATAGAATTCACAATTCCTTGCTTTATTTCTCTTTGTATCAATTTTCTCTTCCCCCCCCCCCCCCCCCTTCCTCTCCTCCAAGCTCCACCAGGGAAACCAAAATCGTCTAATTTCATATGAATTCTTCAACCCTTCCCTTCCTTTCCCTTTGGCCTAACCAACCAAAAACCTCACAAAAAGAAAAACTTTCCATGGTAAACAAATCCAACTACTAAATTAAACAAAAAAAATCCAAAAAAGAGAAGCTAAACATAAACATAGCATCCAAAGTTCCTTTTTTTTTTCTTCATTTTCTCCATTCTACAAGCCTACAAGAAAAAAGAGACAAAGGAAGGATAAAAACTTTACCTTCGACGATTACGCTTAGCAGCCTCGCGTGACTTACGTTTCTTCTTATCTTGCTTATTCTCATGGTACTTCCTTCTCTTACACTCTTGAATAATACCAGCTTTCAAGACCTCTCTCCTGAACCTGTTAAGCAGCCTTTCTTCAGGTTCATCTTCATCCACAATAACCTGAACATTGTAACCTGATTTGAAGAAAAGGGTATTTGCATATGCAAGAGACGGGCATATAACAGATGACAATTCAGTGGATAATGAAGAAGATTGATCCTCTTGAGCTGCCACTGAGAGCAGATTAATTTTGGGTTTTTGGGAAGAGAGTGAAAGGCTGTTGAGAGGTGGGGCTTTCGGTGGTGGTGGGGGAGGATTGGAAGGTAAGAGGAAGGAGAGGAGGTTTGGGAGAGAGAATGAAGTAGCCATTGTTTTGGATGGGTTGAGTTTTTTCAGCCTGTGGATATGGGAATTCTATTGGCTTTGCTCTTCCGGTTTCTTTGTCCCTATCTCACTACCCCTTTTGTGTACCTCAAGGATTTGACTGGGTTAAGCTGACAATCATTGGTTGGGTCAGCTTTTGAGGCTTCAGGCTTGAAGAGAACTATTTCTATTAGTTTTGGGCTGAAATTTTGGGTCCGATTATTTCAGACACTTTGGGTCATAAAGGTTATTGTGTTTATTTATCTTAATTATGATCCAAAAGATTTTGGGCCTTTAACCTTTGGGTTAATTTCCTGAAGTTTTGTTTTCTCAGGAGATGAACACGTTTCTACCTCATCAAGCAGGCTTTGCGCAAATGTATCCGCAAATGTATCCTTATTAAAGAAAGCGATGAAAAAAACAATGGAGAAAACAAAAATAGTAGAAATCCCAATGGTGAAAGAGAAAAGAAAGTAAAATGAGAAAGTACAAGAACAGAACCAGATGAAAGATAACAACCCTTTTTTTATGTAATATTTTGATTCATTTTGGAAACCAACTCAGCCTATATATAAAGTTATGCAAACTACATGATTGAAGGCTAATAGAAGGCTGGGGTGACATCTTTATCCGAAATTTTTGTTTCTGTTTTGCTGTTGTTGTTGATTTTGCCTCGCTGTAGCATGTTCTTCCCTGCTTCTTTTGGATAATAGAATTTTAGCTTATTAAAAACAAAAAGAAAGAGACCCAAATTCTGTTGCATAACATCTGCAATTCAGCTCATTATGTCCTTTTATACTGACAAGTTGCAATGTTTTAGGAAGTTGTAATTCACAGGGTGAAGTTGATTGTAATAAGAAGATCATTGTCTAGAATGAATAGTACAGCAATATGAAAATGACAAGTATCACTTCCCAATCACCTAATTTTCCATGCTGATGATTTTGATGGCTTATTCCTTCTGTTTTCAGTTTTTCACCAGCCTATTGGCTGAAGAGAGGAGATCAGTTATATATGCATTAACATGAAACCCATAAAAGCAAATGCAAATGGTGTGGCATCTCAAATGAATATTCCAATAAGCACTCAAATTTGTGCGAGGTCCATTAATTGTGAAAAGATGCAAATTTCCTCAATCTCTAAAAACCCTGGAAAAAGCATGCAACTTTTTTGTATTTTTCAAGCTTTTGAAAGCATCCCATAACACATTATAGCATCCCTAAAAAGTGGTTGGTTTAGGTGAATCAAATTTTTTAAAAAAATGAAACCCTTTTAAGGGTTTTGTTAATTTAATCAAATATTTAGTTCTTTCACCTCCATGAACCCTGTAGTGCTAACATTTGTCTCCCAATTACCATAAAGATTAGTGGGGGTTTAGTTTTTGTTAATGTTAATATCAAGGTTTCATTAGCATGCGCTTTCCGTATCTATGGGCTGAAACTTGATTAGGCCTCTGTCTTTCGGCCAATTTCTTTTTCCTTTTTTTTTTTTTAACAATAAGTGATTTATAGCTTTCATTTCATATAGTTTTTTGGAATCGATTTATTTATGTTGAATTTAAAAATTTATAAAAAAAATATTTTTTAACGGATTCAAATTCATAAAACAAATCTCTTATCACTTGAACTAAACATCCATAAGGACCAGCCTTTTGCCTAATTACACCTTTTTTTCTCTCAAGAGATTAGTGTCCTAAATGATGACACCTATCTCCAACAAATGCTAAACCTATTCGATTATGACAGTGAATCTTTGATTTGTTAAATCAAAAGCAAGTCCACCAACACTAACACATTAAAGATTGATTAAAATAACTAATTAGAGGTGGAAAAAAGAACCCTTGAAAAAGGAAGCCTTATCCAATGGAGTCCTATTTTCCAGGTAGAGGGCGTGGCAACTTTCTTCCATTGGTTCTGAAAGAATTGTTAAATTCTCTGCATGACTCTTGATTACAACAATCAGAATAGGACAGATGTAAATGCCAGGGCCTAACATTGACAGTACTATTATTCTTGTTCTTGTATGTGATTATTGGCCATCTCATTTTTTTTCTTGCTCGTTGATCAAGACTAACTGCCCATTTTCTTGCAATTGTTTTCTTCTATGAAAAGGAGCCTCCTAGAAAAAGAAATGTATAATCATGGACAGCACATCAGATATTGATTTTAGAGATATATATCAAAAGAATTGTATTGATTAAAATATGTTGGTAATTTAGTGATTAAGTGGTCTATCATATGATATATTCGATTAAAATTTCTCATTTTTAATTGCTTTAGCTTTCTTTCCCTAAAAGCCTATTGAAAGCAATACTTCAAAATTTTTAATAACAATCCATAATCACAATATGATCTGAAATTTCCAAGCTACTATTTTTTAAGACTTCAAGCTACAAGTGTTGTTGGTCAATGATTTTTTTTTTTTTTTTGAATTCGAAGTTTAGTTTAATCAGTTAATTTAAAAACATTACATATTTTAATATAAAATTATAACTTAAATTCTCCTTGACTTGAGAAAAAAAATTTTAATTACATGTTCCTTTAAAGATTGGCTCAAGTTCAAATTTCTCTTCTCAAAATTATAGAAAAATTATGTATGTTAAACTGCTTACTCATACAAAACCATTTTCTTCAACCATATAGGAAAAGTAGGGAAAAAAGATCTTCTTTGATGATCAAAATAATAAATAATAAAACCAAATGCATCATATTTTAATCCCAACAGATGAGCCATACTAAATTAAGAATAAAAATCTCCTGCAAATGGGGGTCTTGCGATTGTAAATTCATTTCTGTAGTACCCGGTTCTTTTATTTTTTTCTATATATCGTCACTTCTCTCTCTTCCTTTTCTTCAAATGTTAAGAGTTTGTGTTACTGTTTAAGCTCTATAGATTGTGAACTTTCCTTTCTGTTTTTCTTTTTTATTGACTTTCCCCTCTCTGGTAAGCTTCTCTTTTTCTATCTTGCTTCTCTATCTCTCTCTCTGCATGTAATGTTTTTTTTCTGTTTCTGTTAATTTATCTTTGTATGTTGTTGTGTTATAGCTTCGTTTTGATAATTTCTGGATCCCCTTTTGGCCGTTTTCTTATCTATATTTGTTCATGAATGGATGCTTATCTGCTTACCTTTTCAATCTTGATGAACTCATGTTATAGATCTTTTTTTCCTGATCTATTTTGTCTTATTCAGTTTGAATTTCTATCCAGGATAGTGTTAAAAGATTAAAACTTTGCATTTAAAGTTTAGATATGAATTTTATTGTCTTTTGAATGTTTGATCAACTGATGATTTGAAGATTTTTACCTTTTCATTCTTTACTAAAGATAAGAGATTGATGTCAGCTCAAGGATGGGATAATACTTCCTCGTTTTAAATTCATGTAAAATAATTACATATTTGTCTCTTATCATTTCAATCAATAATTGAGAATGGTCAGTTGGGGATAATATATAATCTGGATTCAGGTGATAATATCAGATTCTTCATGCATAAACTAGACTGTTGATCAGCTTCTGAAATAATTGTTTTGGAAGCTCTTACAATTATCTCGGTGGCCACAAGTAATACGTCTAATCTGTTTTGGTTTTGCAGGGTGTTTTTATGTAATCCTTTACCTGTTTTCTCTTAAACAACATGGCTGAGGATAACTTTCAAATGCCCCCATGGGAAAATATTCAGATTTGTAAAGAACCTCAGGATGCAGATTACTCATATATTCCCGAGCTCAGTGATGAGCTAGAGAATTTGATTTTAGCTAGATTTCCTAGATCAGAATATTGGAAACTTTGCTTATTAAACAAGCATTTCTTACATCTTCTAAAGAGTGGTGAGTTACTTAAAATTAGGAGGGAAATTGGGTTTAAAGAATCATATATATTTATGTCACCTAGTGGGGGCAATTGTTGGTGGGCATTTGATAGGATGTTCAAGTCTTGCAGAAAGCTACCAGAGTTACCATCAACAGATGTGTGCTTTATAAGTGGAGATAAGGAATCACTTTGTGCTGGGAGCCATTTGATTGTGTCAGGCAGGGAGACTGAAGGTCCTGTTGTGTGGAGGTTTGAACTGGAAACAAGTAAATGGTTTAAGGGTCCTGCCATGATCGATCCTAGATGTTTGTTTGCTTCTGCCACCTGCGGTACCTTTGCTTTTGTAGCTGGTGGGATTGGGATGGAGACCACAGTCTTGAATTCAGCTGAGAAATATAATCCGGAGACAAAATCATGGGAGCTGCTCCCAAGGATGCATAGGAAGAGGAAGCTTTGCTCCGGGTGCTTCATGGATAACAAATTTTATGTAATTGGAGGGAGAGATGAGCACAACAACGAACTCACTTGCGGAGAGGCTTATGATAAGGACAAAAACACATGGGAATGGATCCCTGACATGTTGAAAGATGATGACCCAGTTGCAACACGCCAATCTCCACCCCTGGTTGCGGTGGTGAACAATGAGCTTTACTGTCTCGAAACATCTTCCAATGAGCTGAGGGTTTACCTTAAGAGCAGCAAAACATGGAAGAATTTAGGAGCAGTACCAGTTAGAGCTGATCTTCATAGAGGATGGGGTGTAGCATTCAAATCTCTAGGCAATGAGCTGCTAGTGATCGGATTCTCATCTTCCGTTTCAAGTGGTGGCATGACTATCTACACTTGTAGCCCACAGCCTGACACCAAGGAACTGCAATGGAGGTGCATTGAGGGCTGCAAAGACCGGCTTAATTCTTTCTCCTGAACTGCTCTGTTATGGTAGCATGACTTTGTACCCATACTGTTTAACAGGCTTAATTTCCTGAATAAAAGCCAGATTGTGTTATCAGGGAACATGGTTCCATTTTAGGCCAATATTTCATTTCCCTTGGAATTAAGCTTGAATTGTGATGCTTTTTGTTTACTGCTTTGAAACCTTACTCAACAAAACAATTTCAAGAAAAGACCCCTTCTCTTCCCTCGCCTCTCCTTCCCTCTCCCTCTCTCTCATTCAAACTTCCATTGATAATCTTTTTATCAACAAAACTAAAACAACCAAACTCAATCATTTAAAGGTGTAGTAACTAATACACTACCATTTGTGTTTAACCCTTCAAGGTTTTCATTAAAAATTTGTAATTGTGATGATCAAATCATGTCAAGATTCCCTTATAACTCTAATAGTATCTTTGGTAGATCTAATAATCTATAACATGATATAATGATATGATATAATGATACGATACAAATATGATATAAATAAAAAATATGAAAATGATATGGTTTAAAATTTTAATAATAATTATATATAAACTTAACAAAACTAATAAAATATATTTTATATTTTGATATCGACATAAATTATAACACATAATTTTTATATAAAATATAATATAAATATATAAATTTTAATATTTTACATAAAATAAATATATAAATTATTAAATTTACGCCGAGATAAAAGTACCTATTATCTTAATTGCATAAATGAGAAAACTAATCAGGGCATGGGCTTCTTTTTCGGGAAACTTTATTTTCAAAAGCAGTGGACTGGACCGGCTTTTAGATGGGTTAACTAACCCGACCCATAAGATGTAGCAGCCCAGACTTTTGGGTAGGAGTCCGGGTTGGGGCTTTGATATTTGGTAAATGGTAAACAACTAAACAAGAGAGAGAGAGACCGAAACAAGCATAGTAGTAGAAACAAAAAAGGCAGCGAAGTCTTTGTTTCTCTCTCTTTGTAGCTGTTGCTCTTTCTTTGCTGGAACAAAAGCCAAAGCAGGAAAAGGCAAAACGCTTAAAATCTCCTCACTCTTTCGTAAGATTATTTCATTTTTGTTGTTTTAAATTTTACGTTTTCTCCACTCTTAATTCTTTCGTTTAGTTTCAACTATCTTCCCTTAATCTCGTATTGTAATTCAAATTCTTGGTTTCTTGCACTTTCCATCTTTATTTTCCCTTAATTTCCCCATTTTTTGCATGTTTATAAGCTTTTTTATGTAAGATTTGGTTCAAACTCAGTGTATTTGGGGTTTTTTGGCAAAATTAGGGCTTCGTTTGGGGTTTAGGTGCTCTTTAGGGTTAAACTTGTAAAGGTTTGATTTTGAAGGGAAATTTTGGTTATTTGAGTGTTTCTGGTTAGTGGGTATTTGCTGAGATATCTTAGAATTTACTTTGTTCTGAATGTTTTAGGTTTTGGTGGGTATTTGATATTTTTCCGGGTGAATTAGATTAGTGATGTCTGTGAACAACAATAACCCCCCAAAGAGCCTTGGGGCGTCTTCGTCGCCCTTTGCTAATGCAGGGATGGTACCTCCTATGCCTGGAAACCCTGCATTCTCACAAGCACAAGCACAAGCACAAGCACAGGCACAACTCAGTGCTGGTTTTCAAGCTCAGTATCAGCTATCCCAAGCCCAGGCCCTTGCTCAGGCTCAGTCAAAAGCTCAGGCTCATGCTCAGGCTCAAGCGCAGGTTGCTCATGCTCAATTCCAAGCACACTTACAAGCTCAAGTTTTGTCCCTTAACCAGGCTCAGAATGCTGGCATTGGGAATTTAGGTTCATCCTCGCCCTCCATGTCTACTCCTGGCAGTGCAAGTGCAAAGAGGATCCTCCAAAAGCCCCCTGTGCGTCCTCCTGGTGTTCCTATGACAAACACAATTTCCCCTTTAAGAACAATGGAACTTACACCCGCTGCACGTAGAAAGAAGCAGAAGCTTCCTGATAAACAGCTACAGGATAGAGTGGCGGCGATTCTTCCTGAATCTGCTTTGTATACCCAGCTTCTTGAGTTCGAGGCACGTGTTGATGCTGCATTAGCTAGGAAAAAAGTTGACATCCAGGAAGCACTTAAGAATCCACCTTGTGTTCAGAAAACTCTTCGAATATATGTTTTCAACACATTTGCTAATCAGATTAAGACAATTCCAAAGAAGCCTAATGCAGAGCCCCCTATGTGGACCCTTAAGATTATTGGGAGGATCTTGGAAGATGGGGTAGATCCAGATCAACCTGGGTTTGTTCAAAAAACAAACCCCTTATACCCTAAGTTTTCATCTTTCTTCAAGAGAGTGACAATTTCCTTGGACCAGAGACTATATCCGGATAATCATATCATTATATGGGAGCATGCTCGATCACCTGTGCCTCATGAAGGTTTTGAGGTGAAGAGAAAAGGGGATAAGGAGTTCACTGTGAATATACGGTTGGAAATGAATTATGTACCTGAGAAGTTCAAGCTTTCATCACCTTTAATGGAAGTCCTTGGTATTGAGGTTGATACACGCCCAAGAATTATTGCTGCAATTTGGCATTATGTGAAGGCTAGAAAACTTCAGAACTCAAATGATCCGTCTTTCTTTAATTGTGATGCACAACTTCAGAAAGTTTTTGGGGAAGAAAAAGTGAAATTTACCATGGTTTCGCAGAAGATATCACAGCATTTGTCTCCACCACCACCCATACATTTGGAGCACAAGATCAAGCTTTCTGGGAATAGTCCTGCTGGGACTGCATGCTATGATGTGTTAGTTGATGTGCCCTTTCCTATACAGAGGGAATTGTCTGCTCTGTTGGCAAATGCTGAGAAGAGCAAAGAGATTGAGGCTTGTGATGAAGCTATATGTGCTGCCATAAGGAAAATTCACGAGCACCGTAGAAGGCGTGCATTCTTTCTAGGGTTCAGTCAATCACCAGTGGAGTTTATTAATGCTTTAATTGAGTCTCAGAGCCGGGATCTGAAATTAGTAGCTGGGGAAGCTAGTCGAAGTGCTGGAAGTGCTGAAAGAGAGCGACGATCAGATTTCTTCAACCAACCATGGTAAGCTCATTTTTCTGTTTAGTTGCAGTTGTTCTTGTTGAATTTTGGATATTTACCTCAAGTTTAGAACCTTGCCTATCACTTTCAACATGCAGTCATTTCCACTGATAATATCGTGAATTGTGATTGAATTGGTAGAAACCTCAGTCTTTGGTTGACCCTTCAACCTTGTTGCTAGTCAAAATTATTTACCGCATCTTCCCTCCAAATGCTGTGTAGCGAGTAATATCATTACTGGAGTATTTTTGTTCTTTTGCTAGAGCCCGTATGTGAAACAGCAGACAAACCGGTCATCATATTTTAATTCATACCTGCATCTTGTTTAAGCTTTAAGATTTACTCTTAAAATCTTTTGATTGACATGTGACAACATTTTCAGTATTTGAGATAAATTTGTTTGCTGCAGTCTAAGGAGTAAGGAGTCCACTCTTTCTCTTTCGTATATGTGACACATGCTTGAATTATACTCGCTAGGTTTCTCTAAATTAATCTCTTATAGAAAACCTATTGATAGCAATAATGGTGATAATAGAATTTGTGGAGGATGAAGACATAATCAAGTTCTGTTTTGGTGATTCTAATAGGGTTGAGGATGCTGTTATCCGTTATCTGAATCGTAAGACAGCTGCTGGAAGTGATGCACCAGGAAGCACATGAATCATGGTTCCGGAGCTATCGATGGCCCCCCTGCTACATTTTTCATTGATTTGAATCATGTACCTACTGTAAACCCATTCCTTTAATGGAATTAGAATTGCAATGTTGTTGGATGGCAATTGAGAGGGATGTAGAACAGGAAGTAGCTTATTTAGGCATAATTATCATCAAACTTAATAAAAAAAATAGAAATTAGCAAGATAGTAGTTTTTATTTTGTTAAATTTGTAATTTATATATGGTAGATTCGTGGCTGCATTCTTGGTTTGGCTTTAATGTTTCTTCTTGGTTTATATCATGGAAATCAAGTGTTATAAATGTAGTTTGGTAATTAGAAATTCTCAATTCTGTTATATTTGATTGATAATTATTATAGCCAAGTAAGATCAATGTCTTTTACCAAATTTACCCTTGATGCAAATATTTTTTCTTTGCTTTTTCTTAGGTATAAAGCAAAAGAGTTGAGGGTAATTAATGAAATTAGAGTCGTAAAGCTGACTTGAATCCTGCCAAAGTGGAAAGGTTAATAATTCGAACACCTGAGATGATTTAAACCTGAATTAAAGGGACCTGCTATAGGAAATTAGAGTGTTGTGAACTTCTTCTACTATGAGCAGTTACGTTTGACATTTTAATTTTGGACGTTAATCAATCCTCTTTAAATATGGTGATTGGTGAGTCACGTCAATTGTCAAGCAATTGCATGACGTTTTATACCATTCAGGAGCAATGAATAGAATAGACCCCAAGAACTTAACGAAGCAGCCAGGATAAGAGATTCTATGTTCCCCTTCCTTCATCAGGTGCGACTTACATTTCTTATCTAATCTTGCTCTAGCCATCTAGAGAATAGGATGGACTATTCAAGCTTTCATACGAGGATATTAATGTCATATGGCTTCTGTCTTCTGTTGGCTGTTAAGCTGCTTGTTTTATCTTAGCTATCCTATGAAATTGCCTTGTGCGATACCCTCCCTTTGTAGGCTATTCCGTATCAGATACGAAAAACTTAGTAAAAAATGCATCCATGGGTCCTCTTAGAGGCGCCCTCAGATAAGACATGGAATTTGCAAAGCTGAAGAAAGAAGATATGCGGGTCAGTAACTCTTCAGGTAATGACATGCAAGTCTGCAGTATAACGCACACATGTCTACAAGGTGAAAATTTTTCTTCAGCTTAATCATTCGAGCTAGGTCATCTTCTTCTTATGTAGGATTTTGAGAATGCCTTACAAGAGGTCAGGCCCTTTGTTTCTGCGAACGAATTGGTTAGGTATGAAGAATGGAACAAACAAGTTGGAAGTTTATCAATCTAAAGATTGAACAAAAAATAGAAAGAAATCAGACGCATGATCTACTGATAGGATACTGGACTTTTAGTTACAATCACCACGTTCAAATTCTAATAATCTCAAGTATAAAAAAAAAGCATGAGTTGTACTGGCAAAGGATAAGAGAAATAAATAAGCTTTAATGGTACACGCGGGCAGGTAAAGATTATTATTTTGAAGATGCTGAAACTATTCCCTCCCTAAAAAATCAATACATGTGACATAATCGTTCCAAACAGGCATGCATGTGCATTCTGATTAAGTGGTATTAGACATAATTAACTATGCTCATGCTTTTACAATCACAAATTTGTTCCCTGAAGGATAACAGCATGATTTTTAATCAATGAACTTGATTGATGCAAATGATTATGATTAATATCTGATAAAGATTTGTTTTAAGTATGTGATTCTGTAGCTAATCATTTCCTCCTCCTGACTATAATATACAGATGAGACATAATGGCATATTGGCATCTTACATTGGCCTTACAATTTTAATTCAGAACCATTGACTCTCACTACTGTATTTTTTGGTCTTATCTTGAATGATCTCTTTTCTGAATCACGACCTTCAGTCCACCGGCCATGTGAGCTGTCAAGAGTGGCACGAAGACCGGCTTTTCTGGACCGACTGGTTTGATTTTAAATTGCCTAAGTACGGAAGCCACCACATATTTCATCTGAATGAAGGCCATCTCCTTTCCAAGACAAACTCTTGGACCAGCCTGAAAAACTGGAAACTTGTATGGACATACCTTCTTTAGTGATCCTCCCTGGTAGCTTGGTTCAATAAACCATCGGCTTGGTCTGAACTCGTACCAGTCCCTTCCCCACAATGCTTCCATCCTCCCCATTCCGTAGGGAAAATAGGTTACTCTATCTCCTGCCTGGACTAGAGTACCATCAGGCAACATGTCATCAACCATAGCATGCTTTGAGTCCCAGGCTACAGGTGGATAGAGCCGCATGGATTCACAAAGAGATGCTTTCAACAATTTCAATCCCTTCAATGATTCATAATCTAACAAGCTTTCCTCCATATTCTTTATCTCTTTCAGCAGTTCTTGCTCTATAACTGGATGGCAGGAAAGCAACCAGAAGAGCCATGTCATTGCTGCTGATGTTGTATCCCTTCCTGCCATGATGAAGCTTATGGCCATATCTCTTATCACTACCACATCATGGCCAGCCAATATCAGCCTCGATAAGAGATCTTCACCACAATTCTCTCCAACTTCATCGATCTTTTTCTTCTTGTCACGAACTATCTCCTCAACATATGCACGAACTTCCTCAACAGCATCCTTGAGTCTTTTCTCTGATCCAACTCCAAGCCATTTCTTTACCTTCCAAACCAAGAACAAAGGAGCAGCTCCACGCTTGGCACATATCTCTGACGCCATGTCAAAAGCTTTGCCGAGAGGCGAAACAGGCAGAGAACGATCTAAATAACAGCTATCCACCCCTAATGAGACCTTACAAATCAAATTGAACGCAAGTCTTCTCAGTAAGTCCTGCAGGTCTACCACTTCTGATGCCTCAGCCAATGACTCTAGCAAAGGTAACAATTGATTTTCCACCTCTTCCTCCAATTTACTTATCACCAATTCTCTCAAAGAATTGGTGCTGAAAGCATGGCTTGCTAACTTCCGTTGCATGCGCCAAAGCTCCCCATCCACATTGAATATCCCATAGCCCAGAAAGTCACCTAGAATTTCAGTGAAAGGCTTCCCTTTAGGGAAGTTGTTGAAGTTGGTTTTGAGCATGTACTTAACGTTCTCCGAGTTTGCGGTCACAATAGTCCTTCGAGCACCAAGCCGGTTCACCACAATTGTGTTGGTGGCTGATTCTGCAAGGAGCTCTGTATACCAATCTAACAAACGAGTGCGGTTTTTGTAGAAAGAAATCAGGCAGCCTATTATTGGATAGGTTGGAGGGCCATGTCCTGTTAATTTTGGAGCTCTGCAGACTTTACATAAGATTGCATGCAACACAGATAAAAACACTGATACTAACACAAACTTCAAGGGCAGAAGCCCAAAGAGAGTCATGAATATTTCCATATTAGCATAAAGATGGCAGAAATGAATGCCTTGGATGAACTGATGGTTCTGAAACATGAAGGGGGCTTGCAAAACCAGCTCTCTAGAGGGTTATGAGAAATATATCAGCTACTCAGCTACCAGTATCATATTTTTAAAACCTTGTGTTATTTTCTTGGCATAGTCATTACTATTATTATCACAATAATGAATAGGTGTAGCTGCCCCACTACACCTATTTTCTATAGAACATTAAAAAACATCTTGTTTAAAGCGAGGGACAGAGAATTACTATGACATTGTTCCCTACCTGAGAGATAAAACCATGAAAATTAGAGAAATTTGAATTGTTAAATAAATAATGTTGGTTTTACTTTCAAAACTCAATCCTATTTCACATTCTTTCAGCTTCCATTGTTCATTACAGAGCTAACTTACTGATGTGCGTAACGAATAATGGTCAATGCAATAGAAGAAATGATAGCTACTGAGTTTTGGAAGTACAAACATCACTGTCGATCCTACTAATCCATTCCAACTTGTTACAGAAATCAAGATATCAAAGACACTAATTCAATTGTTGTTTTGATATATTAGTATAGTTATGAATAACATTTGACAGGTATTTCCAAAGAAAAAAAAAATGGATGACTCTAGCAAGATGTGTGTTCTCATTGCGTGGTTTTACTACAAGTCTATTCACATTTATTTCTTTGTTTAATCTATTTCTCTTCTCTTTAAATTGGAAAAAATTTTTCACAAAACGATAAAAGAGAGCAGTTAAAGGGTTTCTGGACTAGTCTTTGTCAAGAGTGTTGACTTGCAAGCCTTAAAGTTACCCTATCAACAATAGTCATTCTTTACAAGAGATATAAAGGCACAAAATTGTCAGGATTCAAATGGCTTTTAGCATAAAAATATAATTCTTAGCTGCTTTGTGGTTACCATGATTATTAGATTATGTTATTCCTTATTTATTTATTTGATAATAAGATCAGGAATATTCTCAGACCTTAGCTCCCTTTCCTGAGCCATTTAATTAGCTGATTTTTTTGCTGACATCAATTATAGTTTTGATATCTGCATTAAAATTGAAGATGCGATATATCAGAGTGAGACTAGAAAACGTGTAAATCATTGCTTTCTGTGAATATTGAAAGTTGGAAAACACCCTGCAGTTACTCTCGAGTCATATCTGTTCTGTTAGCTGACAAGATGGGACCTGATTGATACCCAAAAGCTGAACTTCAGTCAAGCTATATATGTCCAAACCAAGCCCTCGTGTCCCCATAATCTTCCAGTGAGGAAGATTATGAACTGAAATATGAATAACAGTCTTTTCTTCATTAGAATCCAGCTCCACTGTGAATTTCTTTGTCTTATATCCATAGGAGAATCCCCATGTGATGAAAACGAAACAATAAAAAATGGTTATCATCATTACTTTATTACTTACCACCAAACATCTAGATTCTCTTCTCTTCTCCACCATTATGCAAATCTGTTAAAATAAAAAGCATGAGCCACCAATTTAGTGATCATCCAATCCACTGATTGGGGTTGCAGGAAAGTTTTCAAAGAGACGTATGAAAATGGAAAGTCGTACAGATAAGGGTAAAAAATGTGGGTCCTTAAATAACTGCATTATGTCTCTTCCTTGATAAGTATTTGGTTCTTACATAAATGGAGCAGATGCTATGAAGATAATTCATTATCGTCCAGTCATATTCTCTTCCCATACAACACCTTGTATATATTTCTTTGGCATAGAAACAGACAGGAATCTTTTCTTTTCTCGTTTTCTAGTCAGTAATCTTCTCGTTTTCCCTGTAGCCGACCATAAATGGGCATCCCATGTAAGGAAACGTGACCAAATTGGCTGAAGAATCATTAAACAAGCTCACTGGACCATTCCAATATATAATATTTGATGCAGTTTTCAAATCAAATGTGAATGATTGAAAACCGGGCGATTAAAATATTTTAGCTTATGAATGAGACAAGAATGTGATAATATTTAACAAATCACCGAAGTTTTGTTGCCATTTCTGTATTGGAAAAGTATTCCACGCCTGCCAAAAGAAATTTAAAAAAAAGGGAAAAAAAGAAAAAGGAAAAAAAAAAAACTTTCTAGTTGAATGAAAGATTCAAAGAGATCATCTTTTTTATTATTATTATTATTGGTTCATAGTGCGAACCCAAGTGTTGTTTTTATGGCATGTGCTATGTCAGGGCAGAAGCAAACAAGCATAGTAGTTTGAAAGTGCATTAAGATGACATTGGCTTGGTTGATTAATCTACTGAGCCTGTGTAAATTTGGGACAAGTTTGAAGAAAAATAGAAGAAAATACATTAAAACTATCTATCAACGATCTAATCAAAACAAGTTAAAACAGTGGCTATGTAGTTGATGTTCTTATTAAATTATAGTCCAACTTCCACCAGTTCACACTTCACTCACATAAAGTTTGTCTTTAAAAGATCACCGGAAGAAAAATGGCAGTGTGGGATCAGGATTTAGCCCATTTTACTGCTAAATATTCAGGGGGAAAAAAAGAAGAAGAGAAACCATGCAAGTCTTTTGCCTGTTCACAAATCCTTTGGCAAGCAATAAAAACAAAACAGATCATTGTCTAATTAATTGAGTTGAAAAGCTGAAGCTGATATTACTGTTGGAAACAAAAACGTCTCAGTCTCTAAAAGATGGAAGAGACGCCAGGTGGTTGCCATCAAGGGAACCAGTTTTCGGTCTCCGTCGAATTGGCTTGGCCTCAGTTGCCGACCTGCAATCCTTCCTTTCCATTGGATTCCAGTGATATTATGTCCAATCACTCATTAAGAGTTTTGGGTCATGCAGTTTAAGTTACTTTCGTATGATTAATAACGAGAAGTGAACTACTAACTGCTTTACTGAGCATTAAATTTTCAAAAGCCTGGTGGAAGACACACTTTAAAGCTAGACGGTCCGTCCCAATCAAGCTTACTTGGAAAATTTAAGAAGGCATTCACATGTTCGAGGAGATCTGGCCACATTAAAAATTTTCATATAATTGTTACCTTCTGTTCAGAACCCCAGCTATTCGGTTAAAGCAGTGAAACCCATTACCATATCAGAGATGTTAATTTTACCAATATCTAAAAAAAAAAATTTAAAATTTTTATTTTAATAGGATGAAAATGGATATTATAACTATAAAAATGAAAATAGATACAATTTTAATTTTTTTACCGAATATGGATATAAAAACGAGTAATATAACTTTTATCCCGTATATAAATATATATATTAAATAGAATTTTTTATTAAATAATATAAACTATTATTTTAAATTACTTAGAATCAATATATTTTTATTTAAAATATATATTAATATATTTATAAAAAAATTACATAAATATGTAAGATAAATTAAAAAAAACTAAAAAAAAAATTTTTTATTTTTATTTTTTTAAAAAGTTATGGATACGAAATTACTTATATCCATTAAATACTTATGATAATAAAAATAAAAATAAATTTGAAATATCTATTACATATGAATATGAGAATGTTTATAATATAAAGTATGAATATAAATATAATATAAAAATTTAGAAATAAGGATGAAGAATACTTACCCGTTACATCTATCCATTGACATCCCAATATTATTACAATGATCCTAGATGCTGTTTTAGGAGAATTTAGCATCAAAAGCCATATCCCAATATATATGAAGGATGGAACGATATTGACCCCAAAAACAGCACGAAATTAGCAACACCTGGAGACAGTGATGGTCACAGCTAACCCAGAATATGAAATCATGCAAGATTGAAGAGGAACCACTCGTTGCAAAGCCTTCAACAACTCAATTCTGTTCCCAGTTTACATATGAGCCCACTAAAAACAACATTATTAAGCCAGGCGGTATTATTTTGCACAAAACACAAGGTAAAGAAAGTCAGCCACACATTTCAGGATGCTAGCCAAGTTATTTAACTGTTCAATAGGTTTGTTTTACATATTTGAGTGGCCCACTCGAACATGAACTCGGTGCCATGAAGTGTTCAGAATCCCTCTTAGGTTCCAAATATCTTGCACCTTTTCAGGTTGGACATTTGCAGCTGAATCCACCTGCAAATCAAATCAAAAGAAGGGACACAGAAATGGAGAACAGTTAGTAATGCAATGGATGGGCAATGTTTGAGGCCATCAGCTAGCTTATAAATAATTATCGGAACTGAATTGGCAAATTTTCTGCAGTAACTGAACAGGACTCTGGTGCCATAGGCCCATTATAACTAAGATCTTAGGACTCTACATTCTTATCTTTCTCTAATGTCAGAAAAGTTCCATGAACATATGATAAACTTCAGAGACAAGAAATTGTTCTCTTAATTAAGGACAGTAAATGTGTTGCCGCATAAGTCGTTAGGTCTAGCAGCTATAAAGTTCTTTACAGGAAGGACCTGTGTCCTTCCTGGAAAGACTTCAACAGAGGGCCTTCTAAAATGGCCACTTTGGATTCCATTTACATGAATCCTAAGGAGAAAATATAACTGATGATCACATACTAATTGGTGCATTCTGCATTCTAACAGGGTGAAAATGAATCAGAAAGAGTGACTTTATTATCAAATGATAGGTGACATACCGCTTTGGCAACAATCTCAGTACTGTGTGGGATATCAACTGTGACCTCAAAAAGAACCCACGCCCACTTGTCGCTGGTTATGTCATCTGCTATGTAAGGGATACCAGTCTTCTGAAATCTAGAGGCTTCTACCCAAGTTTTGCCACCATCAATAGATACATCTACACGTTCAATTCCACGGCCACCTCCTGATGCTGCATATCCACTTACTTTTACCTGCATAACATTTGACAGCATAAAATCTAAGTGACTTGGGTAGCACCCAATTTGCAGGGGCACCATGGTGAACCAGGTTTAATGTAATGGTAAAGGACAAGGGTTGTTCATTGAGACTAAACTAGCACATAAGGTCCAGGTTTACTTCTTTTTGGGTAAAATCTAGGTTGACTTGAGAGAACAAGAGGATAGTGCACCTGTGCCAACTGGTTAGAATTTAGAACAAGGAACTCACTTCTAACAGATATGTGGATCAAAGAACTCAAAGTCTCTTACAAGTCGACTAAACTTCAAAATAGTAAGTACTATTACTCTATACACCAGTGGGCAGCAGGTGAAGTTTTTTACCTCCACAACAGGATTTATATGATTGCCATGTGTCTGATAAATAATTAAATAATTGATTGTTTCTTTAAATATATGGTAAATGGACAAATGTCAACCCTTTAAAGTGACTTGTGGAGTTAAAAAAAATCTAGTTGCTGTATTGGATAATAACCCTAAGTATAAACAAAGAACTAACCTTTATAAAGCTAGGCATAATTCTAATATTATACAAGCCTTATGAAATATGATTGAAGAAAGGCTGGTAAATCTCATAATGACAAGGTTATTGTGGAAAACTCAGAAATAAAACTATGTGGAAAATTAAGAGTAAAAACTGAATGTATATTGAAAAACTGCTCATTAAGAATTATACAAGAACCTTAGATTTATATACAACTAACTAGGGGTTAAACTAAGAAACTAAATCTTTCTAAAAACTAGTCGTATGATTGAGAGATTGTCTATCCTAATTTTTTGTCCTTAATTCTAGGGATACAAATACTTAACTCTCGAGATACAAAAATAAATATACAAATTACAAGATTACAACCAACTGTAAATAAATGTTTTCCCACACTCCCCCTCAAGCTGGTGAATAGGTGTTTTCTATTTCCAACTTGGAAATAATTTCTTGAAATATTGTACTGCTGAGACCTTTAGTCAACACATCTGCAAGTTAACTCTTGGTTGATACATAAGATGTGCAAATCAACCCACTGTCTAGTTTCTCCTTTATGAAATGCCGATCTACTTCAATGTGTTTTGTTCTGTCATGTTGCACAGGATTGTGTGCAATGCTTATTGTAGACTTGTTATCACATTAAAGTCTCATTAGTCCATCCCACTTGATCTTCAAGTCTTCTAGGATAATCTTTAACCATAGTAGTTCACAAATTTCTTGAGCCATTGCTCTAAACTCTGCTTTAGCACTTGATCTTGTCACCATATTCTGTTTTTTACTCCTCCAAGTCACAAGATTACCACCTAAGAAAATGTAGTAGCCTGAGGTAGATCTTCTATCAATTACTGAACCTACATAATCAGCATCTATATATGCTTCTACAACTACCCCGAATTTCTTTTGAATAAGATACCTCTCCTAGGATTGGCCTTCAAATAGTGCAATACATGATAGACAGCCTGTAGGTGCACTTCTTTAGGACTATGCATAAATTGACTCACCACACTCACAGCATGTGCTATATCAGGTCTAGTATATGAGAGATAAATGACTCTTCCAAGTAATCTTTGGTACATCTCTCTATCTACATCAGCATCTTCATTAGCTTCTCTAATTTTATGATTAGGATCTATATGGGTATTTGCAAGTTTACAAGCGAGCTTCCTATTTTCCTTCAGAAGATCCATTACATATTTCTGTTGTGAGATGAAAATACCATGCTATGAGTGAGCTACTGCAATTCCTAGGAAGTACTTCAATCTCCCTAGCTCTTTTATCTCAAATTCTCTAGCCAAACACTATTTTAGAGATTCTCTCTCTTTTTCATCAACTCCAGTTACAATTATATCATCAACATACACTAATAGAACTATGACTCTCCCTGAATCAGAATACTTGATAAACAATATGTGATCTCCTTGACTTTGCTTATATCCCATTGCTAGCATCACTTTGGCAAATCTCCCGAACCAGGCCCTAAGAGACTGTTTAAGGCCATATAAAGCCTTTTTCAGCTTGCATACTTTGTTTGCTTCTAGATGACCTCCAAATCTTGGTGGAACCTTCATATATATTTCTTCTTCCAAATCACCATGTAAAAAAGTATTCTTTACATCAAATTGTTGAAGCTGCCAATTGTAATTTGCAGCCAATGATAACAAAATCTTAACTATATTCACCTTGACAACTGGAGCAAAAGTTTCTTGATGATTCCATAGGTTTGAGTGTAGCCCTTAGCTACTAACCTGGCTTTATACCTTTTAACAATACCATCCGCCTTGTATTTTACAACGAAAACCCATTTACACCCCACTGGATTTTTTCCTTTAGGCAACTCTACCAGTTCCCATGTCTTATTTTTCTCTAAGTCCTCCATTTCTATTTTCATGGCTTGCCTCCATTTTTCACTGGATAATGCCTCGGATAATGTAGTTGGAACAGAAATAATGTTTAAGCTCACAAGAAAATTTTTGTGGGATGATGAAAATTTTTCAAATGACACAAAATTAAAGATTGGGTATAGTGAATGCTTAGTACATTCTCTGGTTTCTTTCCTAATTGCAATAGGCAGATTATAATCACTAGTTATAGTTTTAGGAGATTCATGTTCATTTTAAGAAACAGAGTCAAAAACTATAGTTACCTCATTTTCAGAGTTATGATTAGGTTCTTGGACTGGCACTGGTTCAGGATTTGGAACTTTCCTTCTTGAGTACACCTGTAATTCCTTTATAGAATCAAAAACAATATTATCCTTTGTCACATCTTTTGTGTTTGGAATGGGTTCGGACTCAAATTTAGTGTTTGACTTGGGCTCAACAGAAATAGGTTTCAACTCAGAAGAATTAATGGGTAAAAATGTTGAAGAGGAGGACAAATCAAGCAAAAAGAATTCTTTATCATTATCTTTCATGAATGTAAAAAATGATTTACTTTCTTCAAAAGTGACATCTGTAGACACATAGAATTTTTTGGTAAAGAATGATAGCACTTATACCCTTTCTGAGTGGATGAATACTCCACAAAGATACACTTAATTGCTCTTGGATCCAGCTTTCCCCTATTATGACTATGAACATGAATAAATGATGTACAACCAAATATCCTAGGTGTGAGGTTATTTGTGGTATTGAGGTTGAGATAGAATTGTGAAAATAGTTTCATACGAGTTTTAAATCCCAAAACCCTTGAAGGTAACCTATTTATAATGTGTGTGACAGTGAGAACAGCTTATCCCAATAAAATTTGGGTACATTTGTTTGAAAAATGAAAGCTCGAGTTGTGGCTAGTAAATGGCGATTTTTTCTCTCTACCACTCCATTTTGTTGTGGAGTATTAATACAAGATGACTCATGGATAATCCTTTTTTTTTGGAAATAGAGGGATAGACTCTGGTTGAAATAGTCTCTAGTATTATCAGACCTAAATATCTTGATTCTTACTTCAAATTGATTTTGGATCATGTTTTGGAAGCTTTAAAATATACTATTCACATCTTATTTGGATTTAAGTAAAAAAAACCCAAGAGACCTTGATACAATCATCTACGAATGAAACAAACCATCTTGCACTAGAAATATTAGGAATTGTAGAGGGACTCCAAATGTCACTATGAATCAAGTAAAAAGGAGTAGAACTTCTTTTGTTACTAATTTGAAAAGACACACGTCTGTGCTTTGCAAGTTCACAAACATCACAATGAAAATCTTCGACGTTTAATCCTTTGAACAAATAAGGAAACATGTTTTTCAAAGTTCCAAAAGAAGGATGTCCAAGACAAAAATGATAAAGCCAAATTTTGTCTTTATTAAAGATTTTTTAGAAAAAAATGACAAAGGTAAACTATTCTTGATGTTACTTGTGTTGTTTGATGTCTCAAGATAGTATAGTCCATCCTTCTCCTTAGCAAGTCCAATCCTCTTCCCCGAATTTTGGTCTTAAAATTCACAATAAGAGGGATAAAAGATCACTTTGCAGTTCATATCTCTGATAAGTTTTTGTATAGATATCGGATAGTAGACAATCTAGGAACATAAAGAACATTTTTAAGAACAAATGACGGATTAATTTGAACGTCTCCTAATCCTGCCACTGTAGTAAGTGAACCATCTGTAAGAACAATTTTCTTATTACTAGGACACAGGGTGTATGTACTAAACTTTTGTGAGGAATGTGTTATATGGTCTGTGGCTCCTAAGTCAATGACCCAAGAACTCATAATAGACTTAACCGAGACATTCAATCTATGAGAACCAGAAGCTTTACCTGAACTAGAGACCTTACCCAAAGAATATACTACAGTAGGCTTTTCAAGGGTTTTCAATAGCTTTCTTAGCTTTTCAATTTCTTTTCTGTCTAACTCTCCTTGTTTTCGAGACATCTGTAATACTCCGATGATTTTTCCAGTTGACACTTCCTCAAATTGGGTGGTAGTGATATCTTTCTTTGAACTGAAACAAGTCTTAAGACATAATCAAAAATGGCTCTTAGCAATAAAGGCTAAAGAAGGGAAAAATAAAATGGCTATGAAGGCTTTAATAGGGTTCGGCAATGAAGGCCTAAAATAGAAGTCAGCAATGAAGACTGAAAAATTTTGCTTCCCAAAAAGAGCCTAAAGTTATGATACCATGTGAAAAACTTATAAATAAAACTATGCGAAAAATTAAGAGTAAAAAACTGAATATATATTGAAAAACTTCTCATTAAGAATTATACAAGAACTTTCGGTTTATATACAACTAACTAGGGGTTAAACTAGGAAACTAAATTTTCCTAAAAACTAATTCTATAATTGAGAAATTGTCTATCCTAATTTTTTGTTCTTAATTCTAGGGATACAAATACTTAATTCTAGAAATACAAAAACAAATATATAGATTACAAGATTACAACCAACTGTAAATAAGTGTTTTCCCACAGTTTTAAATAAGTTATAATAGTATTTCCATAACTCACAACCATTATAAAGCTATGATAGAAAAGGGAACTAACCTTTCCAGGTTTTATTGACTGCACATCTTCCAAAGAACAAATTGCAGACTGCCAACCAGCAATGAAACCCATATTAGTCATGACTGCATTCACACAAATTCGGTTTGTTGAAGAAAATTTTTCTTACTAATATAAAGCTAGATAACCTCCGCATTAAACCCAAGTTCCTCATGCATAAATTCCTCCCAACTAAAATAAAATGTAAAAGCAGCTTGTCTGGATCTTGATATTTAGGTCTTAAAATACCCTTCCTTAAAGTTATTAACATACAATTTACATATAAGACTAGACTAATCGAAGCAAAATCTAGTAAGCACCTGAACAGGGAAATCCATTTGTGGCTTCCTTGTAGACCAATTGATGTTATCCCAATCCACAGATGGTGGAAACATCTTGTAGTCCTTTTGCATGAAGAAGCCCTATGAGGTAGTAAATGGTACTCAATCAGATAACAATGTGAAAAATAATAAACCAATTTAACATAAAGATGAAACCTCCTTCAACCTGGCATTCTTCTGCTATTATATTGATAGAATCCAGCCACTTGACAGAGCGAGCACCTATAACACCTGGCACAATTACTCTCAACGGATAACCATGATCCCTGTTAAGAGGCTTTAGCATGATAAAGAGAAAATAGTTCATGTTAGGAAAACCCATTGGGACATTATGCTCCCAAAAACCATTCATCAGGGAGAGGAAATGAATATTTAATTCAAATATTGAAGTTGCATTATCATCAATTCAGGGCATCGAAATATCAATGATCATGAAGGTCTAAGCAAAGGTATATGGTAGAAAAGAATATCATTAGATGAGAGCAAGTTTCCTTACCTCTCCATTCATCTCATAAGCAAGTAAAACATCTGCAACAGGATTTGTGGCCTGACTAAGTGGAATTGATGCCTTGTATGGGCCTCCATTCTCCTCCTTTGTTTATTTAAACACAAATGGAAGAATATGAAATGATGTTCTCCTATTGGCAGAAACAGCATTGAACAGCAGAAAAGTTGACAACGAAATTCAAGAGGCCAAAGTTACTACCTTACACTTATCAATGCTCACAAATTCTACGTGTTTTCCACCAGACTGAGTGCTACTTGTCAACTTTGGTATCCCAATGAGTTCAAGAACATCAGCCAATTTGGCACCACCCCAGACAGCTGAAAGGTCAAAAAGCAATATAGAACCAAATATAGCAGAACATCTATAATGTAATTGACATTTGGTTATAAATACTAAAAGTACAAAGCAAACATGAAAATATACATAGATTTATGAGGGAAATCAATAGAAATGCTAAAGAAATAAAGCTGGCTCTATTTCGTTGATAATTCTGTACACAGACAAGCATATGAAGTGTGCACATGCCTATACCCATGTCTCCACACATGTGCATACCAATGAAATATAAGTTTGAAAAACGCAATGCAAGTTTGAGATGGATAAAACAAACCATTCCCTATAGCAGAAACATCCCAGCCCACTCCTCTAACATTTCTGGTTTTGCTCATGGCAGTCCTCCTATTACCCGCACACTGTGTAAGCCATCAAAGCCAAATCAGTGAACAAATGCAATAAGCACAATGATAAATATACCAGCAGCAAATATGTTGAACAAATCATACCTGTAAAGTGGCTGTAACATTGTATTTTGGCAGCATCCTGTTTGTAATTAAAAATTTTCAATTCATTACTTGAAAACAAAATAACATATTGAACAATAAAATCAGGGAAGAAACTAGAGTAGACACCGGATTGATGCAAGATTAATTTCATAAATTGCTAATAAATACAGTTGATTTCTTTGATTGCAATCGGCAATGCTATCACTCACCTGACATCCCTCATATACAGCATTTTGGGAGTTTCAATTAAACCACTTATATCAACACAATATCTGCTTTTCCAAAACATGTCCCAAAATCAGTATGAATCCCCAACAAAATAAACCGCATTAAAAAGTTCTAATAAGTGTTAGCATGGAATATTTTTCTAACAAGTGCTAGCATGGAATATTAAAAGAGCGTGTAACCTCTCTATGTCATCAACTATGGGGATTGGTCCATGATTTCTCTTATAAAACAAATCCACTGGTGTCACATAAGAGGAAACTAAAGCTGAACGCGGTGGCTCAGCATTGAAGGGCTCCTGCACCAAAGATGCCAATAATAAGAGGATGAGTCATTGAAACTCTTATTAATGAATACATAACCTACAAATAATGTTTTACATGCCAATCGAAATTTCAAGTAAAAAAAAAAAAAAAGCAATCCTTTTGGCTAAAAGGAGACATTTTGGACCATCCCCAATTCAATTCAATAGGCAAAGAAACAACTTCATCCACTAGCAATTCGGACATCATTTTTTTACGCAAATTAAATAGACTACAATAAACTAAAAGCTTCAATGTACACACAATGAATCAAATTTTCACTTGGAATCCAAAATTTTATTCTTTTTCACTGGTTATTAAAATCAATACTCATCAAACCACCCCAGAAAAGACAAAAAAACCCTCCTTTCTCCAAATAAAAAGAAATTCAAATCCAATGATCTAATGGAAAATGAGTGATTAAACTGCAAAAAAAAAAAAAAAATTGCCTTGGCGTTGATTTTAAGACAAGGATGGCGTGGCGGTTCTAGTGAATAATCAGAAGGTCCAGTTATTCCTCCCATTTTCACTGCCTATTTCTGCTTCGAGGATTCTCTCAATAACTCAAACTGAGGCTGTCCATTTATATTCGCAATGGAGAAACGACAGAGACAGTCTCCGCTGGATTTTAACGTACTTTTCAAAAATGCTTTGGTGATGACGAGGCTACCAACTACATAGGGGAGAGACCAATCATCCACCGTTGATCTGCAGTAGGACCCACCTCAAAATTGAAGATAATGTTTTACTTTGATTAATGAAAGGGCCAACTTGGCCTAGTTGTTGACGTGGTCGAGACAAATGACATTTTATGTGTTTTTTTGGGGTTTATGACGTCTTTATTTGTTTTTTGTCTTTTTTTTATTTTTTTTCAATTTTTAATGGGGCAGGAAAGTTTTGGAAGTACGGGGTTTTCATGGAATCCACGGAATGAATTTTCCAGGGAAACAGAGAAACCACGTCCCAACGTTGATAACAAGGAAGGGCCCCCTGTTTTCCCAAGCTTGTCATTGCAATTGACAAGAGCCGGCCCCAAAGTTTTATTTTTGGCCAAGTTTGAGTGCTTTTTGTCAATGCAAATCTTTTGTCCTTACTATTTGACATTAAAATATTTTAGTGAAGTAACCCTTGTTTCTTCAGGAATTCCGTGGCAATGCCATAACTACTAAGTTGGGAACAGAGGATTTCAGGGAATACCAAAGATACTAATCAAGCAAGCATCCTATTTACAACAGGATTAAAAAAAATTACTATATTTGATTTATCCTGTCGAACAAGAGTGTACGGTATTCTGCCCCTTTGAATACTATCATAGTTATAAAGATGAAGAATAAAACACCCTCCATTGGTTTGTAGCCAGATGTGATTCCCTTACCATAAATTTAGACTGTCTTTAATTCTTGTGGTTCTTTGTGGAAAAATGTTTTACAACAGCCATAGATGCTCTTTACAAAAGCTTCCTCCATTTTCTGTGCTCTCTGCTGCCTGGTAAAATATCTCAAATCTTGCAAGCCAACGTGGAAGTCTGAAAAAACATCCCAAAGAAAATCTGATTAATATAAGAAAAGCATAAGTTGTAATTTGTAAAGCCCCTTGTTATTCAGAAAAAAGTTAGATTGTACCGTTTAACATGGGAAAGAAAAGGATATGCGTGTAAAAAGATTATGGAAATCTGAAAATAATGATGCAAATCACACCGATTATGCCTGTTTTAAAATATGACTTTCTCCGGGTCCAGAGCAAAGCTAAACTTTTTCTACAACGCTCATCTGAGTTGCACGTTTAAGAAGACTTCTGTATTCATGACTTCTTGACCACCCGTCAATCTCACGAGCACGTAGAACAGGCAGAGGATGTGAAAGTTGTCTCGTTTGGGTATTCTGAACATCATTAGTTAATAAGACAACCAAAAGGAAAGTGCTGGGCTGAGTTTTAGATGCTCTGCTCAAACCATAGCCCACCTTATATACCACCCAAGTGGACTCGAAGAAGCTTTATCATAAAAGCGAGCTTGCTCCAAAAATGCATCCACATTTGGCTGATCAGCCATAGATGGGCAGCCACCAGCTAATTTCATTAAAACAGAGATCACGACCTCTTGTAGGTGCATCACAACAAAAATCAGATAATGAAATCTCAACTATTTAATCGCAGATTATCTTAGCTCAGAGATTGATTTTGCATACCTTGGGATCTTGTGCAACGAGAAGGGCTGCACGATCACATGTTAGCTCTGCCGCCCTAAGCCAACGGAATAACTGTTCCTCTAAACTCTGAGCTATAAAGCCACCAAGTCCTGTGAAAACAAAAGTCTTCAAAGCCATGTTTTTTATTAACTGCAGTAGAGTACTTTACGGATATAAGCCACCAGATATATATTCATAACCAAAATCTACAGTTGTTTAGGAAAATCCTTTTGGAGAATAACATGGGAATGTGCCACCTAAATTCTTATTTTCTACAGTAGCAGATTTAAAAATTAGTCCTAGTTCCTGTAAAGACAATCCTGCTAAACATACTCAGGTTCTTTTCTCAGTAAACTACAGCAAGATACAGGCCAGCAAATGACAAGCAAGCCCATGCTTATGTATACTAGTAGCATATATGCTACATCAACAATATATGAAGCACTCCTCCAAAGATCAAGTGCATTGGGCTTAAGCTAAGAATCACTTATCCTCAAAGTCCATAAGCTTGTTTAGTCTTGTCTGAGACGTTTTCTAATACATATTATGTTCTCCAGTTGAACTAAGAATGAACCAAAGTAGCTAAGTTGCCACAACTGATGGGAAGAACCAAAGTCATACCAGGTACACTATAAACTCCAAGAGTGAGAAGATTTGCAAAGGTAAGCCATACACCATGATCGCATTTGAGATGACCCAACTCATAAGCCAAAACAGCCCATTCAGAACAAAAATAATGGCATTTTATCATTTAAATCAGAGCACTACCATGGCAAATAAAACACATCTAATTCAATTTAGACCTTTATAATCACATACCTGCATATGGAAACATTTGTAAAAGCAAAAGAAAACAGAAAAGTGAAAGAAACCAAATCAAACTAAACAAAAACAAGTAAAATTATATCTTAAAGGATTCAAGCAGCAGTCAAGACACTAAAAGGAACTACCAAAAAAGAAGGGACAATAAGTTTAACTCGTTTTGTGAAAGAGAGAGTGAGAAAGAAGGTGAAGACCTGCAATTCATTTCGTGTCAGAAGCTCCACAAGACTAGTATGAATGACAACAAAAGGTTTTTTACCATTTATAGCCAATGTATAAGCATTCGGAACGGGACTTTGCCGAACATAGAGATCAGGAGGCTCAATATTCAACAGCTTCAATCATCATTTTATGAAGTTCCAGAAGCTGATACATGAAAAGAAAAAAAATAGACAATAATTTGAAACAACTTACATAGGATTCAACCAGTAAAACAACTTCAAACAACAATTTTCTAAACATCAAATAACCTGGTCATTCGAAACAAGGACAGAAGTCCCTATATTCTCATGAAGCATGATTTGCTCTGTCATGGTCCCTGCTATAAAGCATTAAAAAAAAAGCATCTTTAACATTGAAAATTCACCAGAATTATAATAAGGCTATGTTTTGGTCTTTGATTTCAGTACTACTTGCTTTTTGCTTCCAACTTAGAAAGCAATAGTTTTTAATTTCAAGAACTAATCTTTGAACGACAAAATTACATGATTTTTGCTTTACATCTTAGCATTTCCTTGTTTTCAATCAAATTTTATTTTTTTACTATCTAATTTTAATTTTTTTCAGGAAAAAAAAGGAAAACAAATTATAAAGTAAAAGCAATTACCTAGAAACGCTCTTCCAAGTTCGTTCAGCCCTGGAATCGCTCTCAATAGCAGTGTATTCTGCAAAAAAATAAATAAATAAATAAAATCAAAGAAATTGATAAAAATAAATTCTCCAAAAAAAAAACGTATAAAAGAAAATTCATTAAATTTTCAACAGAAACCGGACCTGTTTATCTAGCGGATGCCGGAAATCATCGGCGTCGAGGTCGCGAAACATAAGCGGAGAAGCTCTGGAGTAAACCGAAACCCTAATTCTGCCACTTATCTTCTTCACCGATCCGAATCCGACAGATAACGGACCGGCAAACCTGGACTCAGTCGGAGCGAAGACGCAAAAGGAACAAGGCTTTTGAGAAGAGAAACAGAGAGAAGAGAGAACCAAAGAAACCATTGATCTCTCGAAACACGCCAAGAGAATGAGAAAAGCTTAGTGTTGAGTAAGAGATTTAAATTCTTCAATTTTTTTTTAGGGAATTTTTCAAAGATATTTTTTTGTAGTTTTATGGTAAACGTTTGGCGCCGCTTCGTCTTTCTTCCGGCTGTTGACTTGTGAGGCTTTTTCGTAGTTTCAAACTAAATTCAGGGGCAAATCTGGTGAAATACTTCCACCGTCTCAAATCTCCCAACGTTGTCGTTTCAAAGGATTAAAAAAAGGGGAATTTTAAAAATCCCATCTGTCTTCTTCTTCTTCTTCTAGCTGTCTCGGAGTTATAAAATCTTCTCCAATTTCTTCACAAATTTTCTTTCTTTTTTTTGAGCTTTAACATCATGTAAAAATCTTAATTTTATTTCAATTTATATAAAATCATAATCAAAATTGAATCTTTAAAATTATTTTTTTCCTTAACAGGAAAAATTCAGTAAATCGACCACCAACCCCAGATGCTGCAGAAGATCAAGGGAAAGAACCCACCCTTCAAGAAATTATTAACCTCAAGGTTTTTGTCCTTATGTTTTTATTGTTTCAATTTTTGGGTTATTTTTTGTTTATTTATTTATTTACTATGATTAGATTGAATTTGGCAGTTAATTGAGAGTGGGGAAAAAGAGAGGTTAATGGAGCTATTAAGAGAAAGGCTTATAGAATGTGGTTGGAAGGATGAGATGAAAGCCCTTTGCAGGTTTGCAGTGTTTACTACTCTATTTTTTACTGTCTCATTTCTTTCAAGTTATTGTTTGAATCATTGTTGTGTTGGCTTAGCTGTAATTAATCTTAAGTATTGGAAAGAATGTTCAAGATTCCTCATAGATAAGGGAATTAGAAATTAGAATACTTTGATCCCGGAGTCCAACTCAGTAGGTTCATGCAGTAATAGGTGGCATGTCATCCACTAGATATGTAATTCAAATCTTAGCACTTACAACCCCTTTTTCTATCCCCAGACTGTGGCCTCATTTGTACCCAAAAAAAAAAAAAAGAATACTTTCAATTAAGTAGTGTCATGTCATTATACTTCGAAAACAGTTTCTTTTTTGCTAACCATCAATAAGATTAAGTAATTAATCGATGGGAATAAATTTGTTCTGCGGTTATTAGGCTATTTATTTGTTGCTTCCCACGTGTATAGACGCAATAGTAGATAAACTTATAGCCAGATTGCAGTGCCATGTCCAAAATGTGAGAGATATGCTGCTTTTGCCAGACACTGACTGACTGAAAGATAGTTGTGTTTTCTATAATGACAATGACTGAAAGATGCTTAGGATTATGATACATTGAACTGTATCTAGCAATGTGCTGTGGTGTTTCGGAGAATGACAAAACATCCATCTAATGAACTTTTCTTGATAGTTATGAGAAGTTCTATAACTCCTTTGTCAGCCTTTTGTTCTCATCTATTATTATATTTCTTCTCATTGACAGACAAATAGAGAAATGAAGTGCCATAAAACAGATAATTGTTCCACTGAGGCTTATTTCCCTTGATGATTAGTTATTTATCCAAGGATCTATTCGTTTCTTTGGTTTTGAAGTTGATTCCAATGTATTTAATTTCCTTGTATACCTCAATCTTTGTGTGTGATCTTTATGATACTTCATGAAATCTCTTTCACTTTGATGAATGATAGGGCATATATTAAGAAGAAAGGAAGAAATAATGTCGCTGTGGATGACCTTGTGCATTTGATCACCCCAAAAGGCAGAGGTAAGAATCTATTTTTTCCTCTATCGTTTTCCTTGTAATTATCAGCATTCTACAGATTGAAGCAATTGATCAATTGGAGTGGAGAACATTAGTTCATACAGTAGAAAAATCCTTGGTTTATTACTGCTGGTTGTTAATAAATTGGATTCCAGTTGCTAATAGTTCATTCTATATATATGACTTTGTTTCTATATCAAGTCCATGACTGTTTAAATCCTTGCTTTTATGCAGCTTCCATTCCTGACTCCATAAAGGCTGAGCTATTGCAAAGAATTCGTTCGTTTCTCATGTCCACTGCTCTATGACCATCAGTATGCTTTGGTTATGGCAAAGAGGTAGGAAAGCAATAGAGCTATTGCTACTTGCTAAATGGGTTTCAATGGAAGTCTTGTTAGGGCTTGGCTTTATCAATAGGTCTTGTTGAAAGGTTAAGGTGATGTTATGTACTTGGAATAGCGGAATACCATTAGGCCAATGGAATGAGCAGGGTTTGCATCAAGTAGGATAGAATTCCATTTAACCATTCTTGGTTGGATGGGATCAGCAAGTTATAGAGTTTCTAATTGTCCACTATCGTTTCTATTCCCTGTTACTGTCAGCTCCCAGGTTTAAACAAAACCATAGGACAGAAAAACTGTGCATTAGATTAACAATGTTGATTATTTAAGCCCACTGCTTGAACCTAAGCTTATCCTTCTTCCTTCGAGAAGGCTGACTTTATGATGATCCATTGTCTTCTTATACTTCTTTGATGAGTACCCTTTTATACGCCTTTAGGTAACCTGGAGCTTTTGGATTCAAAGTTGTTACCACATAATGTAATGTTTCATGGTAAAATTATTTCCCCTTGTTTCTTTAGGTGTTTTGTTTCAGTCTCCTAGTGAGCATGGTTGTTGTAAAAAAGAACATTTACACTGAAAACTTAATTAAGATATCTTAATATCATCTTTGGGATTTTGAGAATTTCCAGATTCCATAAGACAGAAGAAAGTTATGAGCACAAAACATAATCGAAGCCTTCATTTATTGAGGAGTTTTAACATTACACGTAGTTGTGTATTCTTTCACATCTTACAAGCCTATCTATAGGATTTTAATTCATAGAATATAATGGAAAAAGTTACAAAGCATCTTCACGAGACACATGCATTTATTCAGCTGGATAATGCCATTTACTACTTTTCCCAAGATGTGATTCACCAAATGGGCTTACACCCACAGCTTGCGCTCCACGGAAAATCCCTGAAAAGCTGGCAGCCGACATGCATCACAGACCCTACTACATTTGCAGTCAACTAACATTTTGCTTATGGAGTGCCTGCTTGTTCACAAAGGTCTAACAGATCCAAAGTCTCCAAAAGTGGCGAAAAGAATTTGATTAGGAAGAAAATTTACATGATATAGAGGGAGAATGGAAGAAAATGTTGCGGAGAACTTGTAATTGTTTGCCATACCTCAGGAACTGAGAGCTCGAGACGAAACTTAGGACCATCATAGTGGTGCAAGACCGGCCTAAAAGCATCCTCTTCCAATGCCTTGCAGAGTTTCCTAATACGGATTCTTACCTGTTTATTAGGGGATAAAAGTAAAAGAATCGGAGTTAGTGCAATCTTCCATGAAAATAAACAATACAGTTCCTACAAACTATAAACCCAAACTTTACCTGAGCAGGAAACCTTGACTCGCCTTTACACTTTTTGTCTTCCCAAGCAGTTGGATCAATGTTAGAACCACCAAAACTTGCTGCCTGTGCATATAAAAGAAACCATGTACAACAAAGATGTTTAAATGATAATCATATCTATTTCTCAAGACAAATGAATATGATATGTAAATTGACCCCTAATATCCACTCGCTACAGCATTACAAACTTCAATATCGGAGGCCTTTTTCTTCCTTTCGGAATGAGGTGGAGGTAGGGGTGGAGGAGAGCAATCTCATCATTAAAAAGTATTAAATGATAAATCTTATTGAGCGTCACACAAACCACTTGAAAACGCATAACATAATCATAACTTGTTACCCAATGAATCCTAATCAAGCAAAAGCATGGCAAATGCAAACATTTAGAGAAAGAAAGGAACTCTTAAAGGTGAAAAGAAAAACTAACACCGCCTGACCAACCAACAGCCTCATATATTATAGAGGAAATGAAAGGAATATTACATGAAAATGAAGTAGGTGCACACACCTCAAAAATGCCATGCAACTGATGAGTTGTGTAGTTATAGAGAAATAGAGGCAAGCCAGGTGTAATTGCCCGGACAGAGTCCCTGTATCTTGGTGGTAGACCTATCAAATGATATAACAGCAACATGTAAGAATTCCCACCTAATAATATTAATAATAGAAATTAATAAAGTGATAATTACATCTACGAGAAGAAGACGGAAAGACTCACTTCCAGGAGAAAGTGAAATGGAAGCAAAAAAGTTGACAAGAGGAAATGAAAATTACCAAATAGCTGCCGCTTTAAATCTTCCTGCATCGTATCATTGTTACAAACAAAGATGTACCCTCCAAGCCCCTCATTTCTTGGGAGTGTCTCAGTTGCAGGCAAAGTCTTGAATCTTTTGTCAACAGTATTGTTTGCATTGCTGTTCTCATTGCTGTTGTTATTGCTGGTGTTGCTGCTGTTATTGTTGACATCTTTGTTGCTAGAATTGTTGCCACAATATTTGTTGCCAGCCAGGTTTACAAGGCTATTGCTGTTATTTTTCCGGTAAACAGCATTCATATTGTACATACCATTTCGGAAGGAACTTTTGCTTACACCATCTCCAATCTTGGAGTCCAAGTTCAACAAATTGAAGTTAAGGTTCTCAAATTTGTTGTCTTCCTGGAACCCAAATTTATCCCTTGTTCTCATTTCAGTTGGACCCTTAGAAGGATCGAGATTGTTCATGCGTTCACCCTTTGTCCTTGTCTGTTCAGCCAGTTTAGAGGCAGCCATCAACCATTGGTGATCCTCCAAGACTTTCGATTGTCCCCGAAGATCATCTCCCAACTGCCAAAAGCTATTCATGCTCTCCATTTTGCAAATCCTAATAAGCGAGGACAACATAATTTGTAAATAATTCTTAACTATACAATAAGAGATAGAAATATCTCAAATTCGTACAATCAAAACCACATTAACACAAGAGAAAAAGCAAGGCAACAAGTAATCATTTGATTTTGTTCAATTTTTACCTTGGTAACACTTACAAAAAAAAAAAATAAGAAAATCATAAACACTCTACATGAAGAACCGCATCATTTGATATAACACCGTGAAACCAAGAATCAACACAGCAAAAAATTGAAAATTCCCATTTCCTTTACTTTCCCACCATTTTCTCAAGACACAAACAAAGCTTAGAGATCCTAAAAATTAAGTCAACTGCACTTAACTCAAAAAAACAACATTTACCCTAATCCGAGCCCAATACAACCAACTAATCCCAAACAAGAAAACCCAAAAATATAGTCATCTTTAAAACAATAGATCAAAAAATAAAAATAAATAAAATGTAAATTTAACAAAGAACTAAACAAAGAGATGCAGACTTTACCAACTAAGCAAAGCAAAGCTTCAAAGCTTAGCCTTAACAAAGGTTGATTCAAAGGATTTAGAAGGTGATTTCAAAGGATTGTAAGAACCCTAGATTTGGGATCCAAAAGAGTGTACCTTTATCTTTTTACCTTTGCTAGCTGTGAAGTGAAACCCGCAGGATACAACACAGAGGAAAGAGAGAGATAATGTACAAGGAAGATAGGATTTTTATTGTATTTATAGATTGATGTGACGAGAATGCCCCTTGAAAGTTTGAGTATTTTCTGGCTTTTGCCAGTTTGGTTTTTATGAACAAAATCGTGGGGTCAGTGTTTTGAAATTAAGGATGTGCGCTGCTGGCTGAGCTCTCTTGGTTCTACGCGCCTCACTGGCCGCGTGTAAAACAGTTTTTTGTTTTTGAAATATTTAAATATATTTTTTAACTATTAGTATATATTGAAATTAAGAGGATTATCTTTGAACTATTAAAAAATATTAATAAAAAATTTATTTAATTCATTAGGATTTTATTTTTAACCAATTATGTTGTTGAATTCACATTTATAAATTAATATATAGATTTTGTTATAAAGTGTTTTAAAGATATTTTTAATATTAATTAATGTTTTATTTGAAATAATATTTTTACTAAATATGCTAATCTAAAGTTAATATGTTTACTTTTAGCACATTAAACAAAATATAATTTAATATAATAATTTTTTAAAATTAAAATATTCACTAGTAAAATTCTTAATTTATTTTTTAAAAAAAATAATAATTTCTCATCATACTTTTATTCATCATATTTGTTTAAATTTTAGTTTTTGAAATCTTTTTTATTATTTTTATATTATAATTATTTTTTTAATAAATATTTTTAGAATAAAAATATCTATTACTAATGTTGATTCAAAATTTTTAAAAAGGTAGAAATTTTTAAAATAAAAAACTAAAGAAAATAACCATTAAAAAAAGTTAGTATAGTGGACAAAACATGTGAACTAAGTTCTCCTTTTAAAAATGTTAAATTTTTTCAAATGTTGACTTCCAGAAATTTATGTGAAGGCCAATCCAATCACATGGCTCACGTAACACGCACTTAAACCGTGCCTGTGATTAGCACTAAACTTTCGGTTGGTCAAATATACGTTAAAACACTGTAGCAATTCAGTGACTGTTGGCAAACAGTGTTTTCTCCACCGTCGGATGACTGATTTTGACACAATGACGCTATGATGCCAATCACTAATACTCTTCCAGCACGTGGGATTGGAAGGTGTGGGTGAAACTCAATACGGTCTGGTCTACGATCTTTTTCTTGCTCTCTCGGTTTTAATACTGCCACCTCAACATAGGAATGGGAATCCATCGTGCCATGTTTGACCACGTCAATTTGAGATTTTTTAATCTTCAGAACGTTTCTTCCAATAAATGATTAAGTATTGCTTTTGTAATATAAAAATTAAAATCTTCATGTTTAAAAAAAATGAAGAATGTATCGCACTTTTGTATTTATAAAAATAATTTAAAAAAAAAAAAAAAACAAGTTCAAATTTCCTCTTACTCAACCTCCAATCAACTTTCCTTAAGCTAAACTACAAAAACTCCGTGACTATGTTATTGATTGTATTTTCTTTTATAATATTGGGATTGAGATCATTTGTACAAAAACTTTTTTTAATAAAATTCGAAGATAAATAGAAATTGCTTCAATCTTCAAATAAGGGTGCAAAAGTGCAATTTCTCCACTTACCTTGTCGTAACATTTCAAATATGCTATTTCTTCTTCACTTGTCTTAACGCCAACAAGGGTCATCAACTCTAAACTTGTTACTGTCAAAGTGAATGAGGCAATCAATTGAACCAAAATTTCATTGGGTACTGTACTTGGTTCTGCATGGCAAGTTGTATGTATTATTAATGGTATTATACTTTGTTTTGTACTATTAATAATACACATAACATGTAATGCACAAAGTGGGTACTAAATATATGGTAATATTATGCATTTGTGGCCAACAAAAAGAAGAAAAAAAATATTTTTTTTTTGTTGGTAAATTTGCACACCATGTGATATCTTGATTAAATAAATCTTGAACATGCATACATATAAGCTGTCCAAAATAAACAAAAGACAATTGGACTGCTCCAGTTGTTGTTCTTAAAAAACCATTATAGGGAAAATATTGTAGGAAATGTCTTTTTCTGGTTCTGTCTGAAATTAGCTGGCAAATCAATTTCTTTTATGCTACCAGGTCTATATCCATTGTTTCAAGAAAGAGGAAAGTCAAGCAATTGATTTTAGAAAAACCCTATTGTCCTTTAACCCCTTCGAAAGAAATTCAAAAAGCTCCCTGTTATGTCTAGTAAGCTGCAGACAATAGCCATTTTTATAGCATCAACTTTGTAATGAAAATCATCGTGCTGTTATTGTTATTCTTAGTATGGTTGGTGAGATTAGTTATGAAGTTAACTTAAATGGTGTGGAATCAACATCAACAAAATTTGCAAGGCATCATTATCTTTTGGCTCAATACAAGAGAAATAGTTTGGTGAGAAAATTGAAATAATTTGCGAATAGAAATTGACGTAAGTAATTAAAATTTAGGATTTGAATACAAAATATTCAGATTTAAATTTTTATTATTTTCGATCAATAAATGATTTATAAGTTTGAAAAATTCCCATAAAAAATGATCTGTAAATACTTTTATGAGTTGATCACATGTCATGATCTTAGAGATAAGATAACCTCTCTTACTCCTAAACTTTTTCCTGAAAAAAAAAATTGAAACCATTTTATTTGTTTTGCAAGATAGATTACTTATGTGCTTTTGTTGTACCTTGATCCATTGCCCATAACATTTTATCTTGATTTCATTTTAGTCCTTAACTTTTGAATTATTCCATTTAAATCCTTAACCTCTTAAAATTATTCATTTTGATCAATTTGTCATTTTTTTTATTAACAATTTAGAAAAATGTCCACATGGCACATGACATGCGAAGGAAAATGTCGTCATCACATGCCATATAAGCTACAACATAAGTGAAGGCCAAAATCGAACGATTTTAAAATGTTTGAGACTTAAATGAAATAATTCAAAAGTTAAGGAATAAAGTATAATAAAATATTTATTATTTGAATTTAACTTTAAAAAATAATAAATGCATCAATTAAATATACTAAGGTCATATTTGATACATAAAATAATAGATAAAATAGTATGATAATCATTCTATATTATATTTGATTTGTATCTAATTAAAAGGAATAAAATTACAAGGATGATTATCATCCTCTTGGTATAAGATTATTCAATTCTCTCAAAGTGAAGAAAATTATTTTTAATCAATGAAATTAAATTTATATGTTTTATTATACTCTTAAAAATTATATTAATAATTTAAATTATATAAACTTTGAGAAATCATAATTTTGATCAATAAATTAATTATCTTATCTTAATCTTATATACATCAAATATAAATTAAGATAATATTATTTAATTTAATTCTATTTATAATATTATTTTATCTTATACTATTATATTCTTATATATCAAACATGACTTAAAATATTCAATATTTAACTAGTAATTGTGCATGCATTGGTTTTACCTTTTAAGTTTCAAGATAAAGCCCAATTATTAGGCCCTACGTTCCCTTGTCCTTCAAGAAACAAAAACCCAAGGCATTTGTGAGGATAAGGCCCAAAATATTTAGCAGGAAGCCCATTTTGGTAAGTGGTCCATTAACCCAATAAATGAAAAGACAGACAAATCCCAGTTTTAATTGAGTTTTGTAATCAGATATTTTTAATTTAAAAAAAACTAAAATTGTAATTTCTGTTAAAAAGTTAAGAAAATCCAAAATTGAAAATAATTATTTTTAGTTTGAATTGAATCCATTTTTTTAAATATTCAATTTAAATTAATTCGGACACACGAGTATATATATATATATATATATATATATATATATATTAGGTTTGGATTAAGAAGTTAAAAATTTTTAAAAATTGAATTAAATTAAATTATATATTTTAAATTTTTATAAAATAAAAATACTTATTTTATATTTAAATTTCTTTAAATATATTAAAAACTATATTAAAATAATATTTAAAAACTACAAAATTTAAAATTTAAAAATAAATAGCCAAATTAAATCAATAAAAATAATGAATCAAACTAAATTGATAAAATTTAATTAAGTTCAAATTAAATTATATAAAAACTTAATTCAAATTTAAATTAAAATTTAAAAATTCATTAATTTTATACACGACCTAAAAAATCAAATTTCATCCGATAGGAATCGTTATTATTTAGCGTTTGCTAAAGAGGTCGCTACTGCAAAGCCATTGTCGTTTATTTTTTCTTTAGGGCACTTTTGAAACACACGGAGATACGCTCATAGATTCTTCTGTTTCGGTCCGTATCAAAACCTATAGAAAAGTTTAAAAGAAGCAGCCATGGAAATGTCGAACGAACTCGATAGGCTGCTCTTTTTCGAGCAAGCTCGTAAAATTTCCGAAGCTACTTACGCTTCCAATCCTCTCGATGCCGATGTTGTTTCTCCTTCCTTAGAGATCTATTTTCTCTATTTTTTTCAATTAAAATCGATTTTTTGGCTAATTTTTTTTAATTTTTTTGTTCGCAGAACTTGACCAGATGGGCCGGCGCTTTACTCGAGTTGTCTCAGTTTCAAAATGTTCCAGACTCCCAGCAAATGATTCAAGGTCCTCATATATATTAATTATTGAAGTATTGATTTAGGTTTAATTTTGATTTTCTTGCTTTTTTTTTTTTTTCTTAATAATAGATGCTATTTCGAAGCTTGAGGAGGCTTTGTCCATTAACCCTAAAAAGCATGATGCTTTATGGTGTTTGGGAAATGCTCAGACTTCTTTTGCATTTCTAACTAGTAAGGAGGACGAGGCAAGGCCATATTTCGAAAAGGCTGCTCAGTATTTCCAGCAAGCTGTTGAGGAGGTGATTTGATTTTGTTTTGCTAACAATTGGCTGCACCAGTTTTTGATGTATCTGTATATACCTGCTTGAATGCTCTTTTTAATATGGTAGCTTTGTTATGTGTATTTGTAGGACCCAAGCAATGAAGTTTATCTCAAATCTTTAGAAATATCTGCTAAGGTACTTGTCTCTCTTTGCTTTATATTGGTTTATTCTTGGGTAATGCTTACTTCAACATATTGTGTTTAGTTGTGAAAGTGTGGGATGGACCTTGTTTGATTTTGTTGCGAGGATATTGATTCTATTTCATGACATTAGATGAATTGAAAATGGATCTTTTTGAGATTATAAATGTGGATTAGTTTGTAAAAATTGCATAAGGTTTTTTTGGACTTCGAATTTGCCTTTCTGGTTGCTTTTCTACCTGTTATTAACTTGCTCATTCAGGTGCTTAGAGCTCTCATTAAGTGATTTCTGTCAATGTTTGTGTTTTCTTTTTTGCCCTGGATGCCCAATGCTGTGAATTTGAGATGCATATGGGTGTAGCTCGTTATTGTTATTTTATAGTAGAGTAATGGCAATCTAGGTTTCGTTTGTCACATCTCTTACGAACTGCTAAAATTCAGAATGAATAAAATTTGAGATTTGTAGTAATAAAAGCATTACAAGGGCATACAAAAATGACTATCTTAGGAAAAAGAAGAAGTAAGAAAAGGAACATATTTTCTACCTTATCTAAAGTCAATCAGTTAAAGGTTTCACTCCTAAATCCGGAGACTAGAAGGAGGTGTCAAGTTCAAACTGACCCTCATGTCTTTTGTTCTTTGTGATCCTCCTTACCTTTGATTCATCTGAATGTCTTTAATTATTCCTACTTTAAAAGTATCGTTTCTTTTTTCCACAGGCTCCAGAATTACACCAGGAAATCCATAAGCATGGTTTAGGTCAACAGATGCTTGGTGCTGGACCTTCTACTTCTACTTCTTCCAGTTCAACAAAGGTAATCCTCTTAATTTCTTCCCCTTTTATCTCTACGTGGCTTCTGTTGTCCTGTGCTGCATAATAGATAAATGATTTTTGCACTGTTTATAGACATTATAAAGGATAAAGGTAGTTAGTACTGTTTTTTTTTTTTTTTCCTTTTTTTGTTGATAGACATTTAAATTATGTTTATAGCTTAAGTGAAACAACATCAAATGTTCGATGTATTGCTGACGTATTATGGTTAAGTTAGGTGACATGCATCATGTGCAAGCCCCTTAGGGAGGGGTCCAGCTTATGACTTCTATGTTTTATTATGGAAATCTTGTTGTGAGAGGTTTGATTTATATAGCGTAGTTAGATGGTGTCTAAAACCACAATCTTGTGCTATATTATTTATCTTTCTTTAGAGATCTGAGTGTGAGGAGGTGAGTGGTTATTTTTGACATTTGGGCTTGATTTGTAAAGGAGAACTTGAGCAAAGTGGTAATTGATTAGTCATAGGATTAGCGTAAGTTGAGAGAAAAATGTCATGGAGATAGCGTCTGGTACCAAGTCATAAGAGATTTTTTAGACAATGTCCAAAGGACCAGTCATGCTTTATGATACTATGTATCAGACAGTTAGAAAACTACATGTCTCTAATATAAGCATGACTGAAATAAGGAATGTTGCAGCAGCAGATGACAAATCAGAGATTGCTTTAGATAGTTCATTAATAATGTCGAACTAGGATGTTTTTGTGCGAATGAGTCTTTACGTTTTGAAGGAATGCAGAAAGGTAAAATCATGCAAAAGTTCACATTCATGTACGTAGTAAGATAGGCATTGACATCATAACGTAAACGTTGATTGAGTGTGATGGAGAGGATTGATGTAGCTCACTTATGTGGGACAATGATACGAGCTGCTGGATTTTCTCCATTTCCCATGAAATACTTCTGTTATGATGAATACGGGGATTATTGGGCTGGGAATGAATATCCTGGGATATTCTTTAGTCCTAGGTCTTGGATTGTACGTGTGATTGTTTAAACCATGTCACTATTCTCTATTTCATTTGAAATGCTTATTCGCATATTGTGTTTTTTTGAAGGACATGCTCATTTTTTTATGACTTTGTACTGCATGAATTGGGCTTTATTTTACTTAAAATTTTGCGTTTTGCTTCTTGCAGACTGCTACAAGGAACAAGAAAAGTAGTGATCTCAAATACGACATATTCGGATGGATAATCCTTGCTGTCGGCATTGTTGCATGGGTTGGGTTTGCAAAATCTCAAATGCCACCTTCCCCACCACCACCGCCGCGTTAGGCTGAGGGGTGCATTCAATGCAATGCTCCTACATCCACATTTCCTTGGGGGGATTCAAACAGCCTTGAGGCTTCTGAGTAGAGACATTGGGAGAAAAATTGAGAATTGTATGTTTTGTTAGTTATTTTTTTGTTCTAGTTAGTGCTGCCATATCAATGAACCAATGATAAAATAAGTGAAAAAAAAAAGTCATTTCTGTGTTAAACTATGATTTTTCTCCTAAGCTTAGAAATGCGCCATGTCAACGCTGTGCTCTTGGGCCATTGCTTCAACACTAGCCATTTGAAGTACAGTTGGTTTATATGGAGGATGGTTGGGTGTCAATTAACTTTGAAACATCATCTTAAACTTGTTGATTATTTTGTTTTGCCAATCAATTAGGGTGCCGATTTATAGGTGTTTTTGTTTTCTGTTATATGTTTTTTATTTTTATTTCACTTCCACCCATCTGTCCAATTTTTTCAAAAAGTCAAAATATAAAAATATTCGATTTTGAATTCAAATTTTAATTTAATTAATTTGTATAATCATTTTTGAAGAAATAATGTTAGCAATCTGTAATTTTTTTTATCTTACGGGCTGCTCCAAGCCCAGGTCTTGCAAAATGAAGATGGGCCCATTTTTAAGCCCATAAATAAACAAATTGAAAAAAGAGCTGGAAGTTTCTTCCTTCTTCTTCTTCTTCTTCTTCTTCCTAGCTTTCGCTTGGGTGATCTCTAAAATGTAAAATAAAAAACGGCTGCTCTCTCTTTCTTCCACTGCTTTTCAAGAAGCTCATCCAAGTTCAAGATAATACTATAGAATTCGAGCTTCATAAATGGCGGGAACGAAACTGCACGGTATCGAATCCACTCACTCGCTCTCCTTTCGGCACTCTTTCGCAACTGCGTCTCCGCTTGTGGCGCCGTACCCGAGCCGTGTTGGGTTCGACTGTGCTAAACTCAGTCGGCTTCGTGTCTTAGCTATGGCCGCTAAAAGGAATCCGAAGCGTCTCAAATACTCTGCTCCTCGCTTCTCCAAGGTCTAATTTCTTTCCCATTTAATAATACTAGTAATATCTGAAAAATTAATTGAAAAAAAAACAAGAAAATGAAATTGGCAGGAGGATGATTTGGTTTACGTGGAAGCTGATCCATCAGGAACAGAAAGCTGGAAACTTGAACCTGTAATTGAACTTTTAAAACAAGGAGCTGTTGGTGTTATTCCTACTGATACCATGTAAGAACTAAAACGATTACTTTTTTTATTTTTTATTTTAATAAAAGCAAAAACCGTGTTTGGATGGCAAAAGTATAATTGGAACTTCAAATTTTAGTTTTTTTTTCCCCTTTTAATAGGAAAAAAATTGCATCATTTTATTTTTACTCAAACAATTTAAGTATTTTAGGTATGATAGCAACTAGTAAAATGTGATTGGTTAAAGAAAGGACCAAACGAGGCCTTACAATTTCCTTTGAAATTCTTAATTCAAATTTAATGTTTCCTTTTTGTTGATATATAGGTATGCGATAGTTTGTCATTTGAAAAGCCATTCAGCCATTGAACGTCTTCGTAGGTAGATAGCAATTGTCCTTTTTGTCCCAATTTTATAGGTTTAAACATTTTTTAAAATTCAATCTTAGCTAATAAAAGTTGTTGTATGTTCTCCTATTTGCAGAATTAAAAATATTGAACCTTCCAAGGTACAATGACTTAATCTATTTTCATATATATGCTTTTGGGTGCATGTTGTCAAACCATAACAAGCTTATCAATTTTTCCTTTCACCTAATTTTTGTGCTCTTTCATGTCTATTTACTGTTTTTGCAGCCCCTTAGTATCTTATGCCGCTCTCTTCGAGACATTGACACTTATACGACGGGGTTCCCTTCGGGTGATGGCCAAGGTCATGCGAATATTTTTCGAGCTGTTAAGCATTGCTTGCCTGGGCCTGTAAGAACGCTCTTTGTCTTATTGTTATTATCATTAGGGGAAGAAACCTGAAGTAACCATTAGTGGTGTTACAGAGCTAGAATATAAGCAACGCATTGTTATTTGTTGATAATATGATGGTAGGAATAGGGTCCATTACTTTAATATTTATGATCTTCCTAATTCCAATGGTTGGGTAATGAATGAAGGCACCATAGTATAATTCCAAACAGAACCTTTAAAGTTAAAATTGATGAACTTTTATGACCATATAACGTTTTTGGCTAAGTCAGCTTCCCTTGCATGTCTGCGTATAAGATTCCAGTGTCATGAAGTGGAATGTTTGTATGAGCAATAGGTTCCACAATTTTTTCAGAAAATATTTTTAACTTACAACGAAACTTCTCTGGAAACAGTATACTTTCATCTTAACTGCAAGCAAAGAATTGCCAAAACATTGTGTGAGGTATGGTACTACAACAGCAAAATGTGCTAAAAGGAAAAATGTAGGTGTTCGCATGCCTGATGATGCCATATGTCAAGCAATTTTAGAAAAGATGGATGCACCTTTGATATCCACAAGGTTGGTTTTTCGTTAACACTAATGGAACTGCTCTTTTCGTAGTGGATATAATAAACTAAAATAAATATCTAGCTTCTGTTTTTGTATTCCTGATCTTCTTTATGATTTATACTTAATGTCTGTTCCTTTTTTGCTAGTGTCAAGTGCCCTAAAGAAAATGAGTGGATGATAGATCCAGTTGTGATAGCTGATATATATGGACCAGAGGTACGAGTTTGTATGGTTCAATTTATCTTTCAAGGTTATAATTTCACCTTGAGCTATGGTAGTAGCTATTACTTTCCACACAAATCATGCTTGAAACAAGTCATCTGTCTTGGGTCACTCTTTAATGAATCACCTAGAATATTTCACTTTTTATTGCTCATCTGAAGTTCACATGTGATGTAAATATAATTTGGAGAAGTGAAACAAAATGGAGTGAATTAATTAGATATATTTTTTGTTCTAAATGCATCCCTGTAATAATGATGGCTTAATAGCACTTGTTGCTTAGGCCTTATTGGCTCATTACATTTTGTGACTACACTCAACATTTTATCCTCCAAATCTTTTGGTTTGAAAGGAAAACAGATACTTAGAGTTATATTTGGAGCTTCCAGTAGTCCTGTTAGAAGTCTCTTTTTTTTTTTTTTTTGTTTCTCACGTTTGAGCTGTTTTTTATTCCACTTTAGGGTCTTGATTTTGTTGTTGACGGTGGCATAAGAGTGGCTGATCCATCTACTGTCGTTGATATGACTGGGGCTTCTCCAAAAATTGTACGGCTAGGAAAGGTAAGTATATACATAATATTATGCTTTGCGTAATTGCTTTGTGTAAATATGGTATGACTCAGTATTCAAGAAACAAATAAAAACAATGTGGTGGAACACTTGTCATCCTCCTATAACCTAAGAAATCTATCTTTTATCAAACACATGTAGTTCTTTTTCCCACTTTGGTCTAGTTAGCTATTACTGGAGCTTTGCTTGGTATCTTAGACTTTTACCTGTAAACTTGCGATAATTGAAGGGATGCAACACTCTTATTAATTTTAGAGGAAAGAAGAAATTAATTGTGCAATATTCTCAACAAATAGGCATGCACACATGACTTCTCTCATTTGTTAAATGTATGATGCTCAGGGACCCAAATTACACTGGATGGTTGCAGAAGACGATAATGAATCTGCTTACTACGCAGATGAACTCATCCCATCAGCCACGTAGGAGTCTTGCTTCTCGTAGACTTACAGGAAATGAGGACCATGGTTCATTTGGATTCAAGGTCGGATCAGTGGTTCTCTGCTTTCTCGATTGTTGTAGTACAGAAATGTGTATCTTTTGTAAATAAGGTCAAGCAAAGGTGTATTTGTATTGGTCTTCAACTTTTTCATTAACCATTTTGTATTAAACACCATGCCTAGGCAAAACTGGTTTAAGGCTAAAGAAAGTTGCACTCATTGGCCATTGTTTAATGCGGTTAAGTGAGCATATTGAAATTGAAAATCTCTAGTTTCAAAAAAGCTACCATAATATTTCTGAACCATTGCCTCAATTCAACATTCAGTTTCCTTGAATGTCAACAGAAATACAAGTCTTAATCCAACAGTTACATAATTTAAACTCAAAACACTCTGTGCCTTGTTGCTAATACAACTATATTACTACTATCAGCCACAAACATGAATCATACAATCAAGTACTCTGGAGCTAATATTTGACAGCTACAAACAGAAGTTTATATGGCACTATCAACCGAATTAGGCGATGCACAGTGAGCCAATTGCCATTATACATATCAGGAAAGATCAGTTGAACATCATTAAGTGTAATGATATCACCTGATTTGGTCAGATTGATCATAAACCCTTTTGAGAAAGTACACAAAATTGTTCCATCATTGAGCCCAGGCAAATCATTCCATGAAAGCAACCTAGGAACAACATGTCGCCGGAACATACATACCTGAATAACCGCAAACAACTTTCAGGCCTGCTTATATTGCTTCCTTAACTGGCGCAAAGATCGTCAACCTTGTCCGAGGACTGAACCCTCCTATTTGGATACCAAGAAACGTGGCCATCTTTGTATTACCCCTCGACATCAACAAATTTGAAGCCTGATCATGAAGATCAACATCAAAACCAGTTGGCAGTTGCCTCTTGGTACACCAATGATGAATCAGCATCATTTTCAGTACTCAAACTAGGACTTGGAGCAACAGACAAACAAGAAAGGATCTCAAAAGATGGATCAAAGAAGTCATCTGTTCCATATATTATCAGCGCCCCATCAACGAAAATTATTGATTTTTGGATCAAGACACTATTAATGGAGATCCCCTGACACTATCAGAAATGGAGACTCCCCTGACACTATTAATCTTTTGAGAAACCCTAAGCTCTAGCTTTTTCTTATGGCTGCAACATTATCATCCTCTGATTCTAAATGTCATAAACTTGAGGAAGATGATCGGATCAGTGCATTAACTGACGATATTCTAAGCCACATGGCACGAACTATCTTTTCTTCCAACCAAAGATGGAGTCAAGACTAGCATCTTTTCAAGAAGATGGAAGAACAGTTGGACTTCAGTGACCAATCTCGAATTTGATGATTTCTTCGCTAGGCTGCACGAGGATCTGTCAAAGAAGACGGACTTATTAATATGTTTCAAGAACTTTTTCGACAGGGTTTTGGATCTCCATATCTTGTTTTCTTTACAAAAGTTTACCTTGCATTGCTGTCATGCATAATCAAGCTGTATCAATGCAAGGGTTTGCACTACTTTATATATTTATATATGGGGTATTTCAGTTGCCTGAGACTCTTTATATATACATTTTAGGCTTTCCTAGGGGATTAAGCAGATGTCAGATTGTATTTTCATGGTACTAATATTTTATTGGGCTGTTTTGTTGAAGTTTATCTCTCCAAAAACTGTTTGTTAAATTAGTGTTTATAGATTCTCTTAGAATTTCCTTCGAGTTTGTTAAAATGCAATATTTTTAACCTTTCCCCTTGCAGTCCCTTTTGCCTAGAACTTAAGAATCAAGAACATAGAATATGACATCTACCTTACTTTAACATTGACCTAATTTAACATATTTGGTCATTGAAAAGGTCAGTTTTATGTTCTCTTGTGTGTGCGAATGAAACACAATATCTGATGATTTGACATTTTAAATTAACAGGATGCAGACAATGGATTCAACCCGATTGGCTTGCTGATCGCTTTTTGTCTCACCTTGAGATGATTGAAATGAGAAAATATCAGGGTCATGATTCCAACATGGATTCATTTCTTTGTCTACCTTAGGTAAGAAGGATGTCATTTTGAAGAAAGTCTTAACTTATCCTAGCCATTCATTCAATGGAGGAGAAACAATATGCACTAAATGATAAATGTCAGCCTAAGAAATCCATTCAAAAGCAGATTCAGTCTTTCATAAATATATCTGATTATGTAACTACTGAAATACAGTGCAAAGCACCATTTAACCTGCATGTTTAAGGAAGGAAACTCTCAGCACAACATCACTCCTATTAATCAGCTCAAAGACACATATGTCATCCTTTTGCAGAGAGTTTTCCTTTGCAAATACAGTCCAACCAACTGTTAAAAAAGATCTCGAATGATAGCATTTTAACTTCACAGGCCATGATCTTTCTACAACTTGAAGGGTTACCATCCTAGTTTTTGGCATTATATATCTCCTGGAAAACCCAACTGGCAAATTCTGCAAACAGTAACTACCTGATTAGTATCAATGTTTAATTCAGCCTTGATGGCTTTAATCATATAAGAGAAAATAATACTGAGAAAATCACGCATAGATGTCCTTTCCTGAACAGTATAAGCATAAATGCTGAACTTTATGTCTGCATTATCACAAAATAGAAGAAGAATAGTGAGAAGATATATGCATAAATAGTTCGTAACCATACCAAACTGCCATGGGTCAAGTAACATGATCACACAATAACTTTGCAACTTGGATCCTTTGGGGCAAAATTACTGGAAGCTTCAAAGACACCAAGAGTTCTAAGAGATGAAGCCCCTTGAGTACACTGTGAACCAGCAGTTTTCTAATGTCTCACTTGGTCAAAATTGTCTGCACAAAAATAATACATAAAAGATTTACCACTGTTTTATAAAAAACTGAAGGATGTGGGAAGTTAAACTTTTATTTTACCTAGAGGGAGTTTAGATTTTTGAGCTACAAGTTTGTCATGAAGGCTGGAAATTGCACCTGTACTTTTGTTTCTATAAGTAGTTACTGAGCTTTTCTTCGATTTCACCAGACTAGCGACATTTCCATTATATGACTCAAAAGAACTGAGGAATTAAGAATGCATCCATAAATAGATTGAATGGGATTAACATAGAAAAAAGGATTAGGTGTATTTACTATTTAGATGATTAATCAAACTAGCCAGTTCCTGCTATGTTTCTGATACTGTCATCACTTGTCACTTCACTTTCCTGCAATCTCTTTTGCAGAATTCAGAAATGGTACTCAATCACATAATCCATAACTCTATGGAGTTCACAAGATAACTTATTTGTCTATTAATCAACGATTTTGTGCATAGCTTGAAGATTAATGATCAATTGCCAAGTTTTTTCTGAGTCTCAACTGTTAGTGCATGGTTGGTAAACTCTATTCCTCTGATGGTCTCAAAAAGGATTTGAGCATCTATATATGTGAGAGGAGGAATGGAGAATTAACTTGTAACAAATATGTACACACCTAGTGATTGGCAAGAGTCTGCAACTTCACTGCGAAAAACAACTACATTAAATGTGATTTCAGTGATCTTGAGCAGCTCAAAAACACAGACATCCCCAACATCCAACTTGTTATCATGTGAGAACTCCTTCCAACCATTGCAGAGTCTTGGTTTAGGATTTTTTTCTTTATTATATTCCATACTCCAAGATTTCCCATCAATAACACAAAGGACTTTGCCATGCTTCTGCAACAAATATTGCCAGGCAAAGATCAGTGGTATACCCTGCAAGGAAAAACAAGAAACATAAAATGTTGTTTCAAAAAAAGAATGGGAAAATTTGTATAATACTGCTAGTATCTGCCAACTTCTGCCCCGAGAATATATTTTAAATGCAAACTTGAGTCAAAAGATTTACTATGGTTTAGGTCTAGCAGGTTTTAATTGAAAGCTTACCATTCTGTATCTATCAGGAAGAAATGATGGTTGCATGACTGCCATAAAAAATGGATTTTGGGACTTGAAAGAACTAGCACTTTGAAAAGGTTCAGCTTTCTCCTTGCCTCCCATTGTCTTGTGCATCCTTCTATGTCTGTGTTTCTGACTAGCATTCATCTCCATTACTTTTCCTAGTCGCATTGGATCCTCGAGCTGAAATCAACAGAATTAAGAAACAAATAAAAAAGGAACTTGAGTTTCTAGCATTGAACCAAAAGAAATAATAAAATACAGAAAACTAAAAATGGAAAGTAAAGGAAATGTCCATACCACTAAATCCTTGAGTATGCCATTTCCCTTGGAAACTTTGAATCTATTGTTACTAACTTTGGTGCCATTAGATTTTGAGGCTAAATTGTGTAACTTTGCATTGCTTTCGGTTCTAGTAATATTTGAATGGATTCTCATCTTCTTACTTGGCTGAGGACATGGTAATGGTGATTTTTCCCTTCTTTTCCTGCTTGGTGGCTTGTCATCCAAGATTTCAACAGTGGTATCATCATCATCTTCTGTTGCTTCTGTCCCTTGAGATTGTTCATTCAAATTGTGATTTTCAGCCTGATTGCTACTTATTGGGTATTCTATCTCTGAAGCACCCTTCTAAAATATGACTACATTGAAAAGACAATTCCCTTCATATCTAAAAACCACAAAGTCTAGTAACTCTAGAGAGTGATGCTCTACAAATTCTTTCCAGCCACGCTGCAGCAAAATCTCAGAATTAGACTTTCTCAATTCTACTTGCCAGATTACTCCACTTGGGACCTTAAGAAATACTGGACTTGAAATTCCATTTCCATATTTTATCGCAAACAGTGCAGGAATTTTCTGCATGAAACCTCGAATTAACACATGTAGGGAAGAAAACAAACTTGTATTGAACTGGTAAGCAACCAGGCATGCATCTACATAAACTGATATCAGAGTACACGAAAACAAACTTGTGTCAAATTGGTATGTAACTACGCATGCTTCAACATAAATTGATATAGGAGTAAAGTCACATTTGATTCTTTTTTTTTTAATTAAATGACCGTCCAACCATTGTTTTCTAATATATGGCAGGTTAAAGGAATATTGATTAGTATGATTGATCACCAATGAAGGAATTGAACATTTGGGCTCATTATTCTTCTGTCAAAGATTACGGACACCGATTATCACCCAGAAAGGCTGTTCGAATTCCATCTTATAGGATACAAAACTTCGGGTACAAATCAGGCAATGAGGCAAACACACAGAGTTAATATATAGGACCCTAACCAAAAGCTTATATGATAATTATTCCTTGCATGGGCCAAACCAGACAGAGTTTATGGATTTGTGTTGAGAGTTTTTAATGCAAGAAGCAAAAACATAAACCAAGAAATGACAACAGGAAAAGAACATTAACCCTAAATTGGCAGAAAGAAAACTGTTAGGAGCATTTTTGGATCTAAAGAGTAAAATAATTTTTTCTCTCCTTAGAGAGAATCAGCAACCAATCAAAAATATTTTCTAACTTTTAAGTTGACTTGATATATAATATCAGGTCAATTTGGTCATGTCACCAAATTATAACCCCTTACCTTTCA